ATGCAAGGTCAGCCTTATCAAGAAGGAAGGTTTCCTATTTCAACAAGAGAAGTTATCTCCAGAAGACCGACATTGTCGGGCTATAAATAAAAAAGTCATTCACTTCTCAGAACATCTTCCAATCATCCAAGAATCTCCACACTTGGAGAAGACCTTATTCTCTCTAGATTTCATCTATCTAACTCTCTTATAACGAACTACGATTGGCTTGATCCCTTTAAAAGGGTATGTAGGCAGCCTTTCTCAAGGTTCAACTGTTTCTTAATAAACATCAGAAAATCCTCTCTCGAGACCTAGGGCAAACTAACAATCTTGTTGTTCTTAGCTCTCGATTTACTTTCATAATATTTTAGGTCGGTCATCTTGAATCCGACGACCTAAAATCTTTGTGTATCCTCAAGTTCCGGCTGTTCTTAATAAAAAGATCTCTCTTTAAACCCACAAACTCTTGTTCTCTTATAAGTCAAATTTGAGTCATTACAGGCGTGATTCTTGGCTTGACGAGAAATTTTTTTTTTTTTTGTTTTGGTGGGAATAGACGATTTCTCGACTTTTGCGAGAAAATATTTTTTTTTTGTTTTTGACGGAAAATACGATTTTTTGGTTTTTGCAGGAAGATGAATTTTTTTTGGTTTGGGTGAAAAAACTTGATATCTCTTTTTTTGCGTGAAAACACTGGTTCTCGCGGTAAAATGTAATTTTTTGTTTTTGCGGAAAAATGCAATTTCTTTGTTTTGATAGGAAAATAAAATTTCAGGTTTGACGAGAAAATGATTTTTTTTTTGTTTTGGCGGGAGTAGGCGATTTCTCAGTTTCGTGGAAAAATGAATTTTTATTTATTTTTGTTATGTAGGCGATTCTCAAACTTTCTTCTTCCTCCAACATAGATTTCTCCGATGAACCACCATGGCTCTTCTGCTTCTTTACAGCTTATCCAAAGATCGGCTTTGTATTCTCTGCTGTTCTGATAACCCTAGGTAAACCCACAGAAAACCTAAATTATCTCATCCTTACTCCATTTCTTCTGATTTTCTGATGCAAGGTAAAAAAAACTTTAACTCAAAATTCATGATTCTTTTTGCAAAATATCCACCTGAAACGAATGATTGAACTAAACATGTAACCCTCTCTGCAAACTGAGTGAAATTGATATTTTTCCATGACTTCTTCACGAAGCTCCGAGTCTTTGACTCATTGCTTCAGCAGCTCGAGATTGATGTTGAAGTAAACCTTAGGTTAGTTTCTTTAGGTTCTGGTTTAGTTCATCACAGGATCCCCATGGCAAATGATTTGATTTTAACTCTGCTGCCTGCTAATAATATTTCTTCGAATCTTGTTATGTGACCTTAGATAGTTGCTCTTTTTGATCTTTGACAGATTTAGGACGCACCAGTTTTCCAGTTTTTATGATTGTTGTTGTTTAAAAATTAAAAAGTTGTTTCCTTTGATCTCTGATTGCTTATATGTCTCTTTCAAACAGATTTGTCTACGAATGCACCTGGAAATGGTTTATCTTCTCTTCTAGTAAACTGAAGGTTGGTGTTTTACATCACTTGTCCATCATTGAAGTTGCACTTTGTACTTTTGATATCAATGCAATATGGAATGGATTTAATTAACAACCGACATCTATTATAAGTTTTGTTTATAACGTCATATTTCCAAATCTCTTTACAATGATAACGCTAAGAAACATCAAATATGTATAGAATCTGCTTGAGAATAAGTGGAAAAAAAATCTCATCTTTACCCTCTCATCTTTTATCTCTTGTTTAATGCATTGTTTTCACTTGTTGAAGGTTCAAAATTATGTGAGAGTAAGTGTAACCTAGATAAAATGTTACGACAATGTTAGAATAGCAAAAAAACAAAAACTTTTGATACCTACACCAGAAACGATTGGCTAAGGGTTTAATCATTCCTTTTGACATCAAAACAAAACCAATCATTAAAACATACTAAAGATGATCACAAACTCTATTTCACATTTTTTCTCCAACTTTTAAGTTATATTCTTGAATACTTGTAATGACTAAATGCCGTCGTTTTGAAAATTCAGCTCTTCTCTAAGTTTCTCATTCATTTTACTCTACCTGCTTTTGATTTCTAATGTTCTTCATGTGTTCAATGAACAATCACATTTTCAGAGGCTGTCTATAATTCCACCGGAAATCAATCTTTGCCACAGCATTATGATGATTCAAGTTCCATTTGTTTCCTTCTGAACTATCAAATCTGCAGTATCCAGTCTCCAAACAAACATTTCCATGGTCCAGCCGACTTATCTGCTAAAGATTTCGAAATGGTCAGTTTCTGTAATCACTAACTCTACAACTCATACAATTTTGCTTACGTTCTTTGTACAGCTCTAGTAATTTTGCTTGTAATCTGAAAATGTATTTAACAAAACCATTAGTCTAATTGTATAACAGAAATTATTCAACTCTACATGATAAATGAAATAGAAGGCTGGTATAAGCTTCTGAAATTGAAAAAAAAAACTAAAAATCACGAAAACAAAGAATTTAAACTACCTTAGTGTTTCAAAGACTTTATTCTGTTAGCCTTAAGTGAGCAATCTGGACAGTGTGTATTGGCATTGTTAATTAGGTATTTTTCCATTGACTTCCAATATATTATTATTAGATGGGGACTAACCTTTAAAAGTTTGTTCGTACTTTGGGATTTGTAAAGTGAAGATAGAGCTTTTAGTTTATTTTCCATTCACGACTCTATTATAATTTCCCTATAATGAATATTAAAATAAAATATGATTAGTAAACATGAAATATATATATATATATATGTATATATGTTAGAATTTTGTAATAAAGTTTTAGAACTAACCTTTAAATTGTAGAAACTTAGCTCTATCGTTTCTTTTCCATTCATGACTCTATTACAGTTTCCCTACAATGAATACCATCAAAACAAAATGTGATTAGTAAACATGAAATATATAAAGGATTTTGGTTTATTTTCCATTAAATTGGTTTCTTTTCCATTCATGACTCTATTACAATTTCCCTACAATGAATACCATCAAAACAAAATGTGATTAGTAAACATGAAATATATAGAGGAAATATATATATATATATATATATATGTTAGAATTTTGTAATAGAGTTCTAGAACTAACCTTGAAATCGTAGAAACTTAGCTCTATCGTATTTTTTTTTTTTTTTTAAAAAAGAAGCTCTATCGTATTTTCTAAAACTCTTATGTTGCCTCCACATACAGATAGGAAATTGTACATGCAAATGAGACATAATATTAGACATAATATTGTACATGCTCCCCATTCGATGTTTTCAATATTTGTTTTCTATTGAAATTAGTTCGAGATTTTGTGAACTAATATTATTCTTCCTCTATTTCTATAACAGGAAAAGAAAAGAATTCAAATGGCTGCTAGATTTTCGATTGTAATATTCACTTTCCACTATTGTTTTTATAAGCCGATCAGATTATTGTTAACCCGGTTCATCCACGTTTTTTTCACAAATCCGGTTTATTTTAAGTTGTATAGACCCGCGTGTTTTGAAATGGGTCTATGGGTCGGATTATTTTGTTTGGATATAGACCGAGTCATATTTTTTTAGTTAACTCAATTGACTCGCCTGATTTGTCCCTATATATACTTGTTGCCAAACACAATTAAAACGTAATAGCGATGGCATTTCTCGTAAATACATTGTTTTTTCTGAGTACTTCAAAAAAGTGTTTCTCAAATAATATTATAGAGATACAGTAGAACATTTATAAATTAATACTCGATAAATTAATAATCACTATAAATTAATAATTTTTACCGGTCCCAAATCTGGTCAGTGTAAAAATTAGCAAATTTCGATAAGATAATAATTTTTTTTAAAACTCCTATATAAAAATATAGTCTCAATAATTAGATAAATGAATAATTATATATTTAAGCATATATAAATAATATAATATAGTAATATATAATTATATTATTATTTCAAGTTTATAAAAATTGTTTGACTTATTTTTCAAATTCACTGGTATGATATTTTCTGAATAAATTTTAAATTATTGAAAACATTTTTTTTGTTTTTTGACAAATATTTTGAATTTGAACTGAAATATCTCTCTATAAATTAATAAAATATTAATTTCTCGATAAATTAATAATTTATCGATTAATTAATAACTTTATAAATTAATAAATTTTTGAAGTCCCAACATTATTAATTTATAGAGGTTTTACTGTAGTTGAGTTGCATAGCTATTTAACTTAAACCGATCGAAAAAATCATATCGTACTGAATATACATATAGTAGAACCTCTATAAATTAATACTCGATAAATTAATAATTTTTGTTGGTCCCAAGTCGGGTCAGTGTAAAAATTGACAAATTTCGATAAGATAATAAGATAATATTTTTTTTTGAAAGTTCTATGTAAAAATATGATCCCAATAGTAATATAAATTAATAATTATACATTTAGGCATATATTAATAATATAATATAGTAAACTATGATAATATTGTTGTTTCAATTTTATAAAATTTATTTGATTTATCTTCTAAATTTATTATTATGACATTTTTTGAATGAATTTTACATTATTGAAAATATTGATTTTGTTTTTTTGATAAATATTAAAAATTTAAACTCAAAATATCTCTATAAATTAATAAAATATTAATTTATCGATAAGTTAATATTATCGATTAGTTAATAACTCTATAAATAATAAAGTTTGAGAGTTCCATTATTATTAATTTATAGAGGTTTTACTGTACCATCATAAAATAATGATATTTTGTAATTTTGCTGGAAAATATTGTTTTACGGTTTTAATGGAAAAAAATGGTAAGATTAGTAAATTACTTTAAAATTTCTTAAATGTAGTAGTAATTTAAAAATAATTTTAAATCATTGACCAAAGATGCTCCTTAAAGAAAGTTATTAAATGTGTAGAGATTTTTATCTGAAATTGTCATATACTATGCCTTAACTAAATTTCCATTTTCATATTCCAAGACACTTTACATAAGCACCCGAACAAGCAAGTAAATAAGTAAATATACTCACAAACTCTAAACATAAACGAATCCTCATATAATATCCCAAGCTTTGAGGCAAAAGACACATGGCGACATCAAAAACATCAGTTCTCATCGTTTTCGTTCTTTATCTCTCAGGTAGGCTTCTCTCTATATATTTACCTTCTGATTTTGATCCATTGAAAAGATCAACTCTCATATATATATATATATATATGTGTGTGATATGTGTTTTTGCAAATTGTAGGCACATTGTTGGTAAGCCTCTCTGGAATCCAAGCGCATATATCATGCATGACAGCAGATGACTGTTCGGTGCTGTGTCGAGGTGAGTTTGAGGGATGTGTGGACGGAAACTGCGTTTGCGATTGGGTAAAACCAGAGACTGAGCTGACCAAGACGATACGGTGCAAGAAGGACAGTGAGTGTCCCGATTCTCGTGAATGCCCTAAAGACTACTATTACTCTTGTCTTCATGGAGAATGTACTTGCATTGCTGTTTAACTTAAACCGATAATCTCATATGGCTACCCCCATTATAAAATAATAAAATCTAAATTATTTAATAAAAAAATATTCGATGATTTATTATTTTATTTCCTTTTTACTAGTGAAAAATAATCTCAAAAGGATAATAAAAATCTTCGATGTTTTATATCTATCTTATACATACTAGGTTTAAATCCGTGCTACGCTTTGAAATACAATATCATAAAAACCATTTATATATATTTTATATATATATATTTTTTTAAATCTAATTTCATGTTTTGATTAAAAAATAGATTATAAATGAATAACTATTGGTCAAAATGGCTTATTGGTTCAAGATCTCCTCTTCCATTTGAAGTGATCAAGCGACTTAATCTTCTTGTAGCTTTAGAGATTTTGATTTAATGTCTTGTCTTCTGCTCAAAATCAAATAAAGTCTATATAATAGTTTACATAGAATCAAAGTAAATGTACATCAATCTTAATTGATATACAAATTCTACAAAATTGCATGTATATTCAGAATCGACTTTACTGAAATTATGATGGTCATATATTTTTGTAGGTTTCTTTATAGAATGTTGAAAAATACTGAGCTCTAATAATAAGAAAACTGCAAAACACTAAGATGTATCACTTTGTTAAGAATTTTATAAGAACTAATGACCCTTATGCAATTTTCTCTTGAATATATCTAAAGCTTAATCTAGACAAATCCAACTGAATGATAATTTGCTTCATTTATAACTGTGATGGTCCAAATTCAAAATTTTTTGTTCTTCAATCTCAAGAACCCCTGCTCTTTGTTACATATAAATCTCTTGATTGATCTTTACAACTACCTCTTGAGAAACAATTTCTTCCAGAGTCTCATTGATCATCTTCTCCTCCTCTGTTCCAACAGTTTTGTACAAGCTTAGAGATACAAAGACAATCTCATCCATCACAGAGGGCTTCTCTTCGTTAAGAAACTCTTGACGTATTAGATTTGCTCACAACACCTTGAACTCTAATCATAGATAACTCTTCCACTTCTCTTAATTGACAAACAGTTTTAGCACTTATTGATTAGTAGAGACATAATCTCGTTAAAGCAAACACAAAAAGGCCTAAAGGTTTTCTTTGCAAAATATGAAGATAAGAGATAAATAGAACTCAGATCAGAACTTTCTGCAACTGATGTCTGTTTCTTAAGCTGCTCAACGGTTTCCATTACCGAGCTCTCCGAGCTATTCTAAATCTCTGATGCATCTCTTCTTCAACATTTTTCACTTTCATATCTTTGACTAAGTCCTTGTTTTGTGGTTATGTTTATTGGGTTCCTCTACTTAATTATCCTTCAAAATGATTTAGAAATGAGTAAATGATATAAGTGAAACCATTATCAAGAAAAACCTTTATCTCTATTTTTGTATACACTTGCAAGAAACACCTGATCTTGTGTGGTCTGTAAGGAGACATATCATCTTCTTTGTTCATTTTTTAATGAATCAAAATCTCTGAATAAATTCGAGAAAATTGACACAGACTCAGAGAGCTATAGGCTTCTTGTTGAGGGAGAGGGTTCCATGTACTGTTTGTGTTTTCCTTAACTAAAACATCTTTGAAATTTTATTAATTTTTGTTTTAATTCAATTAAATACTTTAAGTTGGCGTCCTTTTGTTTGGAGACCCTACATAACATTATGAGACCATATGATCTATAAATGTTTCACATAAAACTGCATAGCACTTTTAGTTTCTAAATTAAAAGTACCATAATATATATAATATTCCAACCCTTACAAAATAATTTTAGCCTCAACTTTATTATTCAAGATTAGTTGTCCACCAAGTCTGTAGATAATATTGTGAAAGATTTTTTTGATTAATATATATGTTAATATTCAGTATTACATATGTACATAACTGGAAAGGGCGTATACACAACTTTTTCGCAACAACATGTAAATTTAATAATTTTTGTAAGATCAATAGAATTGTAATTTTTTGTACAAATATGATGGAGCAATACGGCGTGGAGGTAGAAGGCCTCTGAGAACCCGAGGACACTTGGCCAGTTTCTCCCAGGTTTCTTAACCAACTTCACCAACGTGCCTCAGTTTAACCTGATGAAATTGGTCTAACCACTCTACAAAACATGAACGCAACATTCTGTTTATTGGGCCCATAAGCTTTATGGAAAATGTACATGCATAGCTGTTTAACTTAATTTGACTATATCATACTGAATATACATATCATAAAATAATGGTATTTTGTAATTTTGCGGGAAAAATATTGTTTTACGGTTTTAATGGAAAAATGCTAAAAAATTTTAACACTGATTTATTAATCTATTGCAAACTATGAGAACTGTTACATGCATCAATGATTCTACAACGGTCAGTTCTACCGTCTTATGAAGATCCACGACTAACGGCTCTATCTGCACTATTCATCATGCTTAACATCATCATATGAAGATCTACATGATACAAGGGTTTTGCACCTCTCATGTCAATCACCCATTGTACTAGTCATTGTAGCATTGGGTTTTAATATCAATCCAACTGGGATTAGTTGAAAACAGAAGAGCTAAGAGTGAAATCTCTAAGTCAAGCAAGCAGGAAAAAGTTTGTGTTGCCTAGGCAACTGTTCTAACACCCTAATGTGATCAATCAACAAAGAAAGTGATAAAAAAAGCAAACTAAGTAGATTTAAGCAAGAAAAACAGAGCAAAACAGAGCAAATCCGAGATTTAAACAAAAGAAAAGCTAGTTCCTAGATGTGGTTATTGACTTTGGGGAATTCAGACACTTACCAAGGCTGTTTCAAACTACATTGATCAAGAAAGTAAGCAAGCAATGGTGATTCCTAGACATAGAGTTCACAATCAAGCAAGCTAGATCCAATCTCTTAGCAAATAGCCCTTTGCTAAACATCTTAACAATAACTAACTCTCATTAGTGCTAAAACATCAAGCAAGCAATACTAAACAACTCTATTCAAGTCAAAATGCTCATCAAACAGTCAATCTCTTGAGCCAATGCCAGCAAATCCTCAATTAAACAAGATCAGCATTTCATCAAACACTTGGTGGGCATAAGAGAAAGCTAACTACCTAGATAAGTGTGATCAAGATAAATCTAGCATTAATAACAGATTAATAGAGATGAACCCATAAACTGAAGCACTAAACAAGCCCTAATCAAGTCTTAAATTCCCCTAATCTGCCACATCTAGAAACTCTAAGCAAACTACTCACTCATACTCATGTTTAACACCAAATCACAAAGGAAAAGGATGTTAATCATGATTAGAAGAGAGAATAAAGAAAGATTAAAGGCAAATACTCAAATATATTAAATAAAGCAAATGATTTGTCTTACAAACTTAAAGAAAATGCTTAAGAACAGTAAATTGACATGACTTGTGAAAATCTGGAAAAAGAGGTTATTTATAGCCTAGAGAAGGAAGCTCTAGAGTAATGGCAAAAATGTAAATAAAAACAGGTTCAGACTGGGTTTACATCGGTCAGTTACAACGGTCATTTGTGGTCGATGTAGATCCCATCAGTCTGGTAGTGATCGATGCTGGTGACCGAAATTGATCTGCTGTGTTTGTGTCGATCACTCATGGCCGATGCTGGTGATCGATGTGCTTACATTGGTCACCCCATGACCGATGTTGGTGACCAAAAATCTGGTATCGGTCACCTCTTGACCGATGTTCACCGTGCTATGACCGAAAACCTTTGCAGAGATTGTCTGCTTTGATCCTTCTTGCTCCTTTTGATCCAACTAGCATCCTGAATCATCCCCAAAGCTCCTTTTGGCTCCAAAAGCACTTAAAAACATCTATAATGCAAGAAAAATGCAAACTATATCCTAAATACAACCTAAATCTAAAAGGAGAAGAAAATGGAGCAAAAACTAAGGGAAAACATGCAAAAGAGAACCAAAATATGTACTAAATACAGTCTTAAATAGTGTAAATACAAGAGATATCACTACGCCTAACGATTCTGCTTGCACTACGCTGAAGATCTCTTGTAAGCTTGTCTCAATTAATTTACATCATTTTTCATTAATCTGCATAATTAAGAATAAATCATGCTTTTTAGGATTTGAAACCTAGATCTCCTGGTATAGAACCATTAATAAACCATTTTTAAACCATTGGGGCAAAGGATTTCGACCCAAAAAAAATTCATTTTTTAAAATGTTAAGATTAGTAAATTACTTTAAAATTCTTTGAATTTCGTAATATTTTTAAAATAATTTTAAATCATTGACCAAAGATGATGCCCCTTAAAGAAAGTTATTAAATGTGTAGAGATTTTAATTTGAAAATGTCATATACTATGCCTTAACTAAATTTCCATTTTAATATTCCAAGACACTGTATCAACGAGTCGTTACAAAAGCACCCGAACAAGCAAGTAAAATATACCCAAAAACTGTATCAACGAGTAGTTACAAACTCTAAACATAAACGAATCCTCATAATAATATCCAAAGGTTTGAGGCAAAAGACAACACATGGCGGCATCAAAAGCATTAGTTTTCATCGTTTTCGTTCTTTATCTCTCATGTAAGCTCTTATATATTGCTTTTTGATTTTGATCGATCGACTCTCAGATATATGTTTTTTTGCAAATTGTAGGCACATTGTTGGTGAGCCTCTCTGGAATTCAAGCGCGTAGATCATGCAGGCTTGCAGCTGACTGTGTGGTGCTGTGTCGACGTAGAATTGAGGGATGTGTGGACGGAAAGTGCGTTTGTGAGTGGGCAAAACCCGAGACTGAGCTGACCAAGACGATACGGAGCAAGAAGGAAAGTGAGCGTGATACTACAATTAATCGTTAATTATCCAATATGATTTTTTCATATAATTGTCGCTACGTCTTCTTCGTTCAAATTAAGTTTTCATATAAAAATCGATACATCTTCTACGAGTTGTTTTCATCGGACGCAATTCAATTAATCGTTAATTATCCAAGATATAAATGATGTGGTTTGGTTGATAACTTTCATTAATTGATTAGTAGTGTGATACTACCACTAAAAACATTGATTGATTATTAGTGTGATACTACTACTAAAAACCACGGTTGCTTAATTAAGGCCAGTTTAATAGTATTAAATTCAGATCAAGTTTATATGAGCATAATTAACACGAAATTAAAATATTGAAAAATGATTTAATTGTAGAAGCGAAGTTAAACTAACTTTCCCACGGAAATTCTTATTTGCATACACAACGAATATGACATTTTATTTTTTAATAACAAGTTCCAAAGAGTGCATTTGACTAAATGCTAAGGACTTAACATTTAAAAAATGGTAAAAACACTTTCTGTTTACTTCAAATACATGACTTTTTAAAAAGTTACCTAAATTACACATTCATTGTAGTCAACTAATTGTGACAGGTTATAATATTTTATGAAGAAAACAAATGTAAAAAAGAATGTATATATTGGTTTCACTTTTATTTGTAAGTCCTAATTACCAAATTATGCTAAAAAGTAATCTTTGTTATCAATGAGTATATTTACATTGATTGCACAGTCCGTGTAGAAATTTGTGTTCTTTTTTTGTTGACAAAAAAAAAGCTAATTATAAAAGCGCCAAATTGAGTCATTTTTATTTTTAAAAGTAATGTATTTAGCCTAAATACATTAATTGTTTTTTTAAATGATCTATAAATTACACATTCACTGTAGTCAACAATTTTTAATGGGAATAAGTAATCCTGATCTCTTTTGTTGACCAAAAAAGAAAGGAGTCTCTATTATTTTGAACAAAAGTTATTATAAGAAAACGTAATTCTAAATGCTATCTAATTATGAAAAGTCAAATTGGTATTTTAAGATACCCCCATTTTTTTTTATTCTTAAGAAATTTAATTCAAAAGTCATAGTACTATGCATTAACTAAATTGCCATTTTCATGTTCCAAGACACATTATATAAGCATCTGAACAACCAGGTAATGTTACGCAAACTTTATCAAAACGTATCCGAACTCCAAAACCATCAACCAAACTTTCAGGCAAGAAACATGGCGGCTTCAAAAACAACAATCTTCATCGTTCTTTGTCTCTCATGTTAGCCCCTTCTATATATATATATATCTCGTGTATGTTGATTAAATATTTAAATGGAATTAATATAATTAAGACCGACTAAACTGTGATATATGTGTTTGCAAATAATAGGCACATTGTTGGTGAGCGTCTCTGGAAATCAATCGAACAAACCATATTGCTCGACATCCAAAGATTGTGACTACTTGCAATGTACAAGAGGACGTGCGGAATGTGTGGACGAAAACTGCATTTGTGGGTGGTCAAAACCCGAGATTGAGCTGACCAACAAGACGATAAAGTGCAAGAGGGACAGTGAGTGTCCCGACTCTCGTGAATGCCCTAAGGACTACTATTACTCTTGTCTTCATGGAGAATGTACTTGCATTGCTGTTTAACTTAAACCGATAATCTCATATGGCTACCCCCATCATAAAATATTAAAATCTAAATTGTTTAATAAAAAAATATTCGATGATTTATTATTTTATTTATTTCTTACTAGTGAAAAACAATCTCAAAATAGTAATAAAAATCTTCGATGTTTTATATCCGTCTTATACACACTAGGTTTAAACTGCAATATGCTGTGAGATACAATATCATAAAAATTATTTTTGTCTAGTTTCATGTCTTGATTAAAAAATAGATTAAAAATAAATAACTGTTTGTCAAAATATCTTATTTGGTTCAAGATCTGCTCTTGGAGTGATCAAGTGATGGCCTCCTATATATCTTCTTGTAGCTTTAGAGATTTTGATTTAATGTTTTGTCTTCTGTTCAAAATCAAATAAAGTTTATATAATAGTTTACATAGAATCAAAGTAAATGTACACCAATCTTAATCGATATACAAATTCTACAAAAGTGCCTGTATATTCAGAATCGACTTTATTGAAATTATGATGGTCAGATATATTTGCAGGTTTCTTTATAGAATGTTGAGAAATATTGAGCTCTAATAAGAAAAAAACTGCAAAACACTAAGGGGGTGTATTGAAACTAAAATTTTAGAGAATTTGAAAAGATTTGAGTTTTAATAAAATTTTAGATGATTTTATGTGGATTAGGAAAGTTGATATGATTTTATATTAAAATTATATGAAATCCCACCTAAAACAATGAGATTTGGTATACAATATTTTTAACTAACAAACTCCACCAAATCATTTAAAAGTACTCAATATTTTATAAAATCCACTATTTAAAATATTTCCAATAACAGTAGATTTGATTTGGTTTTTACAAATTTTTGATTGAATAACATAGATGTTAAAGTGATTTTAATTGGTTTTATATAAACTAGAGATTCCGCGCTACGGGCGGATTATTTTTATAAATATTTTATTATTATTTAAGTTAATTTTAACTTTAAATTAATATTTTAAATATATTTTTTTGATTTTCAATATTATTTTGATGTAGTTATACATTTAAAAATTTTTAACGTACTTAAAAATGTATTATAATTTAATTTAAGAATTAACTAACTTGATATATATAAAAATTAACTGTTAATTTAAAAATTAATATTTATACATAAACCCATTTTTGTTCACTAACTTTCAAAATACTATCTAAATTATTATTTTTTTAAACTAAATTTGATATATAAACTCATTCTTTCACTAACTTTCAAACTATTATTTAAATTATTTTTGTTTTAACTAAATTTGATATATAATTGAACTCAACAACTATAAATTTTTCTTATTTAATTTCAAACATTTTTTTCATTTAAAAGAAAAACTTATTAAACATATGAATACAACTGAAGCACCTGATTATTGTTCCAATTAATTTGGATTTCTTTTCATTTCAATTGTGTCCATGTAGTTTTTTTTTAGCAGTCTTAAATACAAGACAACAATCAATATTCAAAACTCTTACAAATTCTTAAGAAACTATTGTTCATATAATAAAAGCAACATTTACATATTATAGAAAATCACAATCATATTGATAAACTGCAATTTTGATTTGATCCATACAACATATGTAAACTATAGAAGTGTAGATGAATAAAGCAATCAATAAATATACAAATACAACTTCATACTAACTCATTCGATTGAACAAAGTATGTCGAGTGTCTCAAAACTCAAAAGGTATAAAAGGTTTATTTGCATTTGTTTATAATTTAACTTAGATATTTTTTACACTACATATATATTTTGATAAACCTCTATAATTAAATTAATAATATATATCATAGTATTTTTAAAAAAAATCTTAACCAAAAAAACAAACCATGTTAGTTTTTCTTACATGTTGAGCTTGTAAGAAATTTCTTCTTTGTTGATGTGGATGGTCAGAGATTTTTTATGACATTTTCTTTTACATAAAAATGTATATTGTATTTTTAAATATTAAACTGTAATATATTAATGATTAATATAAAATTATGCAAGTCTATTTATTTATATGCATGACTATAACGATGATTTATACTATACTATAATTAATTTAATTTATACTTAAAATATTTACATATTATACAAAATCACAATCATATTGATAAACTATAATTTTGATTTGGTCTCTGAATCATATGTAAAGTATAGAATTATAGATGAATAAAAAAAGTAATACATATACAAATAAAACTTCATTACTAACTCATTATATTGAAAAAAGTATATCTAGTTTCTCAAAACTCAAAAAATATAAAAATCTCATTTGCATTTGCAATTTAACTTACATATTTTTCTTACACTACATATATATTTTGATAAACCTTTATAATTAAATTAATAATATATATTATTTTATTTTTAAAAAAGTTTCTTAACCAGAAAAACCATATTAGTTTTTCTTACATGTTGAATTTGTAAGAAATTTCTTTTTTTTTGTTGATATACATGGTTAGAGATGTTTTCATGATAATTTATTTTATATAAAAATATATATATATATACTATTTTAAAATATGAAAGTGTAATATACTAATGTTAAATATAAAATTATGCAAGTCTATTTTTCATAAAACCATATCGATGGTTCATATTATGTTGTAATTAATTTAATATATGCCTAAAAGTATTTTGCCAAAAACAAACGTAATAGCATGTACATAATCATACATATTTGGTGCTTTTAATTATTGTATGGATGAACTCTATACCTCATAATATTATATTTTATCAAATTTTTTCAGTTTAAAAGTGTGATTATTATTAATATAAGTTATGAATTTTTTTTTTGTTACAATCAAGTTATATGTTTTATTGTATTAGTACATACAATTTAATCAATATTCAAGTATTATTATTATTATTGATTAAATACTATTTAAATTTAAACAAGTTATAAATATATTAAACAATTATTTTTATTATAAATCTGCTGATGTGGCAAGTTTAGAAAGCTTCGAAAAAGGCTGAGGTGGATGACTTTAGAAGCCCCAAACTCCTCCTTTCATTTAATATAGATTTCATGTTCAATAACATGAACTTTGGTAAGAGATTTAGAAATCATTAGTTGAATAACATGAAATTTTTTAATAACCACAAAGTCTTCTAAAATTTCTGTTTCAATACACCCCCTAAGATGTATCACTTTGTTTAGAATTTTATAAGAACTAATGACCTTTATGCAATTTTCTCTTGAATATATCTAAAGCTTAATCTAGACAAATCCAACTGAATGGTTGCTTCAATTATAACTTTCTCATCATTGCGAAGGTCCATATTCAGAATCTTTTGTTCTTCAATCTCAAGAATCCCTGTTCTTTGTTACATATCAATCTCTTGATTGATCTTTACAACTACCTCTTGAGAAATAATTTCTTCCAGAGTCTCACTGATCATCTTCTCCTCCTATGTTCCAACAGTTTCATACAAGCTTGGAGATACAAAGACAATCTCATCCAACACAGAGGGCTTCTCTGTATTAAGAAACTCTTGACGTATTAGATTTTCTCACAACACTTTAAACTCTAATCATAGATAACTCTTCCACTTCTCTTGCTTGACAAACAGTTTCAGCACTTATTGATTAGTAGAAACATAATCTCCATAAAGCAAACACAAAAAGGCATAAAGGTTTATTTTCCAAAATATGAAGATAAGAGATAGATAGAACTCATATAAGAACTTTATGCAACTGATGTCTGTTTCTGAAGCTGCTCAACAATTTCAATTACCGAGCTCTCCAAACTTTTCTGAATCTCTGATGCATCTCTTCTTCAACATTTTTCACTTTCATATCTTTGACTAAGTCCTTGTTTTGTGGTTCTGTTTCTTAGGTTCCTTTACTTATTTATCCTTCAAAATAATTTAGAAATGAGTAAATGATATAAGTGAAACCATTATCAAGAAAAACCTTTTTCTCCATTTTTGTCTCCATTTGCAAGAAACACCTGATCTTGTGTGGTCTGTAAGGAGACATATCATCTCCTTTGTTTATTTTTTAATGAATCAAAATCTCTGAATTAATTCAAGGAAATTGACACAGACTCAGAGAGCAATAAGCTTCTTGCTGAGGAAGATGGTTTCAGATGCTGTTTGTGTTTTTCTTAACTAAAACATCTTTGAATTTTATTAATTTTTATTTTAAGTTAATTAAATACTTTTAAGTTAGCGTCAATTTGTTTGGAGACCCTACATAACATTACGAGACCATATGATCTATAAATATTTCATATAAAACTGTAGAGCACTTTTAGTTTCTAAGTTAAAAGTACCATAATATATATAATATTCCAATAGTTACAAAAACATTTTAGCTTTAACTTTATTATTCAAGATTAGTAGTCCACCAAATCTGTAGATATTATTGTGAATTTTTTTATTAGTATATATGTTAATATTCAGTATTACATATATATAACTGGAAAAAGGCGTATATAACATTTTTTCTTAACAACATATAAATGTAATAATCTTTATAAGATCAACAGAATTGTAATTTTTTTTGTACAAATATGATGGAGCAATACTGCGTAGAGGTAGAAAGCCTCTAGGAACCCGATGACACTTGGCCAGTTTCTCCCGGGTTTTATAACCAACTTCACTAATGTGCCTCAGTTTAACCTGATGAAATTTGTCCAACCACTCTACAAAACATAAACACAACATTCTGTTTATAGGGCCCATAAGCTTTATTTAACTTAATTAAACTATATAGTACTGAATATACATACCATATCATAAAATAATGGTATTTTGTAATTTTGCTGGAAAAATATTGTTTTACGATTTTAGTAGTAAAATGCTAAGATTTTTTTTTAATACTGATTTATTAATCTATTGTAAACTATGAAAACTGTTACATCATGATTCTATAACGATCAGTTCTACCGTCGTATAAAGATCCACGACTAACGGCTCTATCTGCATCATGCATCGCCCTTAACATCATCATATGAAGATCTACGCCTGACGATTCTGCTTGCACTACACTGAAAATTTCTTGTAAGCTGGCCTCCATTAATTTACACAATTCTTCATTAATCTGCATAATTAAGAATAAATCGTAATTTCTAGAATTTGAAATGTAGATCTCCTGGTGTAGAACCATTAATAAACTCTTTTTAAACCATTGGGTCAAAAAACTTTCACAAAAAAAATCATTCTTTAAAATGCTAAGATTAGTAAATTACTTTAATTTTTTTTAAATTTAGTAATATTTTAGAAATAATTTTAAATCATTGACCAAAGAAGATACCCCTTAAAGAAAGTTATTAAATGTGTAGAGATTTTTATTTGAAAATGTAATATTCCAAGACACATTACATAAGGGCCCGAACAAGCAAGTAAAAAAATATACGCAAAAACTGTATCAAACAGTAGTTACAAAACTCTAGACATAAACGAATCCTCATAATAATATCCCAAGGTTTGAGGCAAAAGACAACACATGGCGGCATCAAAAACATCTGTTTTCATCGTTTTCGTTCTTTATCTCTCATGTAAGCTTCTCTCGATATATTGCTTTTTGACTTTGATCCATTGAAAAGATCGATCGACTCTCAGATATATGTGATATGTGTTTTTGCAAATTGTAGGCACATTGTTGGTGAGCCTTTCTGGAACTCAAGCGCGTAGATCATGCAGGGTTGCAGCTGACTGTTTGGTGCTGTGTCGACGTCAAATTGAGGGATGTGTGGACGGAAAGTGCGTTTGTGAATGGGGAAAACCGCCGGAGACTGAGCTGACCAAGACGATACGGTGCAAGAAGGACAGTGAATGTCCCGATTCTCGTGAGTGCCCTAAAGACTACTATTATTCTTGTCTTCATGGAGAATGTACTTGCATTGCTGTTTAAACCGATGATCTATCATATCATAAAATAATAAAATCTAAATTGTTTAATTAAAAAAAATCTTCGATAATTTATTTCCTCCCTATTAGTGAAAAACAATCTCAAAAGGGTAATTAAAATCTTCGATGTTTTATGTCCTTCTCATACACTGTTATCTTTTGACCAAAAAAAAAAAAAACCCAAAACTGTTATCTAGTCAAAAAAATGTTCAAAAAAAAAAAGACTGTTATCTAGTTCCAACGTACAGATAATATGCTAACATAATAAACATACAATTTCTTAAGTTTGTTTAGTTGTTTCAACAAGAGGCCAAATCTATACTATTAAAAGAGAATCTTATTTTTAAATTAATCTTTAGTTAATGTGTTATTTACAATATATACAATTAAATTTCTATAGATTCAATAAGGATAATTTAGTCTTATCATTAAACTGTTAACAAATATATTAAATTTAAATTAAATTAGTTTGTAAACAGATAATACCAATAAATCATATCTGATACTAACAAAATTCAAATTAATTTACTTTTAAAATTATTTTAAAATCTTTCATAATATCTTAACGATATATGGCATGAATAACTAAAATAATTATATATATTATATGATAAATTAAATATATATTATATTATAATCAATTTCTTCTCTATAGTAAGAAAAGCACTACATTAAAAATTTTAAAAATTATTATGGTATTTACAAAAATATGACAATTTATAGTCAATAACAAATATATAATCATTATTTTTTGGTAACATATATACATACTATAAAAAAATTATGTAAATAATTTAGTTTTTCTGGTTTGTTAATGATTTTTTTGCTGAAAATTATGGGTTTGCAGATTTGACAAACATAATTTTGTAAATTTTACGGGTTTTATAAATTTTAGCGGAAAATATAGTTTTCCGAGAAAATGCCGATTTAACAACAAATGCGCTTTTGTAGATTTAGCAGAAACACATAATTTTTGAAATTTGATCGTAAATCACGATTTTGCAGATTTTACGGGTTTATGGGGAAAATACAAGTTTGCGAAATGCGAATAACGCAATTTTGTAGATTTTATGGGTTTTACAGGTTTTAGCGAGAAAATGCGGGTTTGTGAGTTTGACAGAAACACATGAGTTTAGAAATTTGGTCATAAAACATAATTTTATAGATTTTATCAAATTATGGAAAAACACGGGTTTTATGAATTTGACGGGAAATGTGATTTTACGGATTTTACGAGGTTTACATGTTTTTGCGGATTTTATAGATTTTGGTGGAAAATGTGGTTTTATGAATTTTATTGAAAATGCAGGTTTGCGAGTTTGACGACAAAATGCAAATTTGCAAGTTTGATAAAAAACTACTTAATTTTAGAAATTTAGCCATAGAATACGATTTTATGATGTTGGAGGAAAGCATAATTTTTGGTTTTGTTAAAAAATGTGGGTTTACAGTTTTGGTAGGAAAATACATTTTAATGGAAAATGCCATTTTTACAGTTTCTACCAGAATTTTCGGTCTTGGTAAAACAACGTGATTTCACGATTTTGCGGGAAAATGCGACTTTTTATTTCGATAGAAAAAATAGTATTGACAAAAAACTTGATTTTGTGGTTTAAATTAAATAATATTTTTATCTGTTAATTTTTAAAATTCAAATGGTGCATCAAATCTCTATTTTTAGCATTTTAAATATTCAAATTTTGAGATATTATAGAATTTGTATTCAGATCAAATATTCATATACTGATTTAAAAATATTTAAAAGAATAATATTTTAGAGCATTTGCATTCAAATAAGTATCTCGAGGCAAAAACAAAGCCTAAGAAGCTTAATTACAAATAAATAAAATCTCTCTTGCAATATAAAACATAATATTTTAAAATATTTGTTACAAAACTTAATAAAAAATCTGCTAATCAAACTATTTTTTTATAAAATCAAGCCTAAATAATTTTAGGAATATAAAACCATAATGTTAAAATAGTTTATATGATCTAATAAAAAATTTCCGTTTGGGCTATAATTTTATATTTAATAATGTAAGTTAATTTTTCTTTTGATAATGAACCGATTTTTGTTATGATCTAAAAATATTTTATAAAAAAAAACTTTCGCAAATGCGCGGATCCAAAATCTAGTATACCAATTAATTGTTAAAAAAAAGTTGTTAAAAAAAGAAGAAGATAGTAAACCAAGGATCAACCAAAGGATTTGAATTGCACTTGAAAAACAAACAAAAAACCTGAGCCGATCTAACCGAAATCGTGTTATTCGGTTCGGTGTAATTTTATTTGGGTTAGCCGGTTGAATTGGGTTTAGTGGTTTGGTAAATAAACCCTAGATTTCTTCAGCCTTCTCTCTCTCTTTCTTCGAGCTCTGCAGTTCAAACATCGTAAAACCCTAATCAAAACCTCTGGGTCGCTAGTTTTTTTCTCTAGATTCTAAGGTAGCAAATCAATGGGGAAGAACAAGAAAGAGAGGAAAGATGGAGAAGAAAAATCTCAACACTCTGCTGCCACTGTCTGCGTCTCTGGCTTGCCTTATTCCTTCACCAACGCTCAGGTACTCTCTCTCTCTATTCATTGCCTTGGGTTTTCGATCCTCCCTTGAATTATGGTGGATGGGTTATTACTAGCATCGTTTGTCCTGGATGATTGCAATTCGGATTGTTTTGAATTGTTGAGCTCCTCTTTTCTTCAAACTATTTCAGCTCGAAGAAGCCTTTAGCGACGTTGGTCCTGTCAGGCATTGCTTTATGGTCACAAATAAAGGTGAGTGGATTCGGGTCACAATCGAAATCAAAGTTTTTTTTTTTTTTTCACGCCCCATCACGAGCTAATTATCTTCTTCTCTCTTCTTGTTTACAGGATCAAACGAACACCGTGGCTTTGCCTTTGTTAAATTGTAAGCTCTGAGACTATTCTATTGCTGAGCAAGTAGTTTTGGTTGATACAGTATTAATATAATATGCTGTTGGTCCGTTGCAGTGCTTTGCCAGAAGATGTGAACCGTGCCATCGAGTTGAAGAATGGGTCTATTGTTGGGGGACGTAAGGTTACGGTTAAGCAGGCCACGCACCGGCCTTCTCTTAAGGAGCGTCGTACAAAAGCAGCCGAAGGTTGGTGTCTTACACTTTGAAATCTAAGAGGTTCAGTGAAATTATTGTTGTGTCTGCATTCACCTATTCATTGACATCAATTTCTTGTTTCGTTTCTTTATCGAATTAGGAATCTCTGCACCTGATACTTCTCAGACAGAGAGTGACAAGGGCGGTTTGGTCCCTGAGGCAGACCAGGAAGGTATAAAGATTGCCTAGATTTGGTTTCTGTGTCTAAGTAAGTTGCTTTGGGTCTCGTTTCTCAATAAATTTGTATTTGTATTTGTATCAGTTCCTCCACCCGAGAAGAAAGTAGAGAAGAAGATAGAGAAGAAAGTAGAGAAGCCAATAGAGAAGAAAATAGAGAAGAAAGTAGAGAAGCCAATTGAGCGCAAAAAACCAACGAAGCTTCATGTTGATTTAGCTGATAAAGATACATGTTCAGATAAGCAAAGGTATGAGTTTATAATAACGTGCTTGTTTTTTGTATAGATAATAAACGGAATGAATTTATAATAGTGTTTGTGAGGAAGACTATCTCATTGAGATTTTTTAAAAACCTGATATTCTGTATGTATCATCAAGATCCAGAACTGCGTCTCTCGTTTTCTTGCTTATATTTATGTTCTCTTTTTTTTTTCATTGGCTGAAGAGTTGCAAGAACTGTAATCTTTGGTGGCCTTGTTAATGCTGAGATGGCAGAGTTAGTCCATAGTCGTGTCAAAGAGATTGGCACTGTGTGCTCTGTCAGATATCCCCTCCCCAAAGAAGAGCTCCAACAAAATGGTATGAATCTTGTTAAGTAAATGGAGTCAAATGCTTGTTTACCTGAGATCCCAGCCAAAGTTTTTAGTTATATCAGTGCAAGGTTTAGATTTCGGAAATGATGTTATCCATCAGAGCTGCTCGATCTAGGCATTCTTGTAGCAGAGAACAGTGTTATTATAGGCATGAGGCCCCGCACATAATGACTAGAATCTCAGTGAACACTAATGGAACATGAATCTCCTTTAATTATCAGATTACATCAGCCATAACAAGATTATAATAAACAACTCTTTCTCTAGTCGAGGTTTATGGGGTTTACTTTTGGAATATTGCTGTTGGAATGCATCTCCTACTCATTGTTTCGTTTTATAATATTGTCTTTGGTGCTGGTTGCCTCCCGTGTATCTTGTGGCTTAATTACTACTGTGTTGCATGTAGTTATAAACTTATTTTTGATTCTCTTACAAGAGCAAGCCAGAATCTGTGCTCATGACGCATTCACTAATGTTAGAACTATGATTTTCATCAGGGCTTACCCAAGACGGATGCAGGGCAGATGCATCAGCTGTTCTCTTTACGAGTGTCAAGTCTGCTTGTGCCGCTGTTGCAAAACTACATCAAACAGAGATAAAGGGAAATCTCATTTGGGCGCGTCAGCTTGGTGGGGAGGTGAACACTATTTCCCATGTACCTCTGTCGAGAAACTGATTAGCATTTGAAACATTTCTTGATCTGTTGGTATTTTTTGGAGGCAGGGCTCAAAGGCTCAAAAGTGGAAACTAATTATCCGAAATCTTCCTTTCAAGGTTCTTATAACCCGGATCTTTTTGTTATTTCTACGATTTCATACATAAAAGCTGTGTGTTTCTCATAGATTTTTTTATTGGAATTTGCAGGCTAAACCTAGTGAAATTAAAGAGGTCTTTACAGCAGTAGGGTTTGTCTGGGATGTTTTTGTCCCTAAAAATTTGGAAACTGGGTATGTTCGTCTGAGTAATTTTCTTGATTATGAATATATATATCAATGTATATTATTCTCATTTGCTGGAATAATTTGGCAGGCTACCTAAGGGTTTTGCATTTGTCAAATTCACGTGCAAGAGAGACGCACAAAATGTAAGATCTGGAAACATGGGTATCTTGATTTGGTTATTTTCCATACGGATCACTTGTCTTATTTACTTCTTTTGCATATTCAGGCAATTGAAAAGTTCAACGGGCACATGTTTAGTAAAAGGCCGATAGCTGTAGATTGGGCTGTACCTAAGAATCTATACAATGGTTCTACTGATGCCGCTACTGCTCCAGCAGATGGTATGTTAGCATATTGTTCTTTATTGCTGGGTCTTAATAACTTGCTTAATTATTTCGTAGTTTGGGTTTACATCTTGTTAACAGAATATTCATACTTATTCGCCTCAACCTTGGTAGGTGACGAAAATGGAAATGATGAGGACAGTGATAACAGTAGTGTTGATATGGAGGAGGTTGATGACGCTGTCGAAAGCCACCAACCGTCAGAAGATGATATTGATGATGAGGAAGAGGAAGACGCCAGTAACAAACCGAGTGAATCAGTTGTAGTGGAGAAAGATGCTGCGACCGATGTGAATTTTGAAGAGGAAGCAGATGTTACAAGAAAGGTGCTTCAGAACTTGCTTGCGTCTTCAAAAGGTCCTGTTGCTTCTCATGCTGAAGAGACAGAGGAGCCGGATAAAAACAAAGTCGAGGATTCACCGACTAAGCCTGTCGCTGAATCTTCTGGTGGCCCTGAACCTTTGAAATCCAGTAAAACCAAAGAGGTGGCTCCTAAAGCAACGCAGGAAAACGATGACTTTAAGAGAACTGTATTTGTAAGCAACATCCCATTTGATGTTAGCAAGGAAGAAGTCACACAGAGGTTTGCTGTATTTGGGCAAGTTGAATCTTTATTCCTAGTTCTCCACCCAGTCACAAAGTATGCATCCTTCTTTGCTTTGAATACTCATTCAATCATAAAAGCAAATTCAGACTCTGGTATCTTCCTTAACCCAAAACTTTACAATTTGTCTCTGGATGTATTTTCTTTACAGGCGACCAAAAGGGACGGCTTTTCTCAAGTTCAAAACAGCAGATGCATCAGATGCAGCCATTTCAGCTGCCAGTACTGCCTCAGGTGTCGGTGTCCTTCTTAAAGGCAGGCAACTGAGCGTTATGAGAGCTGTGGATAAGAAATCTGCACATGACATTGGACTCGAGAAGACAAAGGAGAAGAATCTTGACCATCGGAATCTTTATCTCGCTAAGGTACACGATTCTCTGAAACGTCACAACATCTCTGTAAAAATCGTAAAAAGCATGCACTAATATTCATCCCCTTTTGGACTTCCACAGGAAGGTCAGATCCTTGAAGGTACACCTGCTGCTGAGGGTGTGTCTGCCGAAGATATGGATAGGCGACGAAGGTAAAACTTTTTCATTTGGTACTTTCTTATATGTGCGTGTTGCTGTCTAGTGATTTGGGATAAGAGAAGTTTGAGCATGTGTGGTTGTCGTTTGCAGATTGCATGAAAACAAGATGAAAAAGCTTCAGTCTCCTAACTTCCATGTGTCTAAAACGAGGATTGTCATCTATAATCTGCCGAAGTCCATGAATGAAAAGCAGCTACAAAAGCTCTTAGTTGATGCTGTTACCTCAAGAGCTACAAAGCAGAAGCCATGCATCCGACAGGTCACTTATTCTCCGCTTTCGTCTTGCAATTTCAAACATAGTTCTATTATCGCTTTTGTCTTGCAATTTGAAACATAGTTCTATTATCTGAATCTGGTTTCTTTCTTTTCGATGCAGATCAAGTTCTTACAAAACGAGAAGAAGGGTAAAGTTGATACGAAGAACTACTCACGTGGAGTTGCGTTTGTAGAGTTCACAGAGCCTGACCATGCTCTTGTGGCCCTGAGAGTACTTAACAACAATCCTGGTAAGTATTGCTGAAAGCTAATTTTCCATCAAGCTTTTGAGTACTTTTTTAGAGCGGTTTTCATTTGAATGATGCTTTGATGCTCACCGATTTTGGAATTGAAGGGATGCCATAAGATGAGACAAATATCGTTACGGCAGATAATAAATCCACTTAACATATAATCTATAGGATATAGTAAAAGCCAAGAATCACGATCTCATAATACAGTCATTGGTTTGGCTTTTTTGCAGAGACATTTGGTCCTCAACACCGTCCCGTTATAGAATTTGCTGTTGATAACGTCCAGAAGCTGAAGATACATAAAGCTAAGCAAGAGTTTCAGCAACGCAAAAGAGACAATGAATCTGAGGAGCAGCGGACCAACGGCGAAATGCAGGCAGAGGACAATCATCGTGGCAATGATTCAAAACGAAGAACGAGGGATGGGGATAACACTGGTCCAGTGGAAGAGAATGCATTTAAGAAGAGGAAACCTATGCGCCCACGTGAACGGAGGAAAGAAGAAGCAAAACCTGAGGAGAAGAGTGTCTCAGTGAAGGAAGATGCAGAGAACAAGAGAAATAAGAAGCCTACACGCACACAAGAAAGGACTAAAGAATCGCCTTCAAACCAGAAAGGGCAATGGACGAGACAGCAAGAGGCAACTGAGAAACCAAATCCGAAGAGGACTTCCAAAGATGCGAGCGATGTACCAAGGAAGAGAAAGTTTGAGGAGGTAAGAGGTGGAGAGAGTGTAAATGGACAAAGGAAGAGAAAGAATCAGAACGAGAAGATGAAGAAGCAAGGTGGGCCTCCCGAGGTTCTGGACAAACTCGATATGTTGATTGAGCAGTACAGGTCCAAGTTCACGCAGAGCTCAGCCAAAACCGGCCCACAGAAACAGAGCTCCGGTCAAGTCAGGAGATGGTTCCAGTCCTGAGACTTCAAATCATCGAATGTCAGTTTTTTATGCAGTTTTGATCTTGAGATGGCTTCAAAATGTTGCAAATTAATGTTTTAATCTTCGTTGTGTTGTTCTTGATTTCTCCATAATCTTTTGTTTTGTATCATCCCGTGAATTGATGATCCTTTAACACTAGACCGGATCAGAACCTTAAAAAAATTCCGGTTATATTTTGAACCGATTTGCTTGCTGAAACCGGAACGGTTCAGCTCATTAAAAGTAGCATGTTAAAATATAGCCTATAACGGTTAGTCACCTAAATCCCGAAGAAACGATAGGTGTGTGTGCCAACTAACATTCTCGTGGGAAAATTAGATTAATCTTACAGGTTAATCTATCGCTGACGTGTCAAATCGTCATTGGTTTGAATTTCAGTTTCAAATATTCCGCTTTTTCCGTTTATCTTTTAAAAATCCTAAAATTTTACTATATATAATTCATCTCTTTTGGTCTCTGCTCTCTCCATATCGGTTACTCATGGATCATCTTAGGGTTTTCTTCTCCCTTTCTCTTCTCTTTGCTTTCGTCTCTGTTTCGGTTTGCGAGAACAACGGCGAAAATCTATTGATCCGGCAAGTGGTTAATGGATCGAAGCCAGAAGTTTTGACATCGGAGGATCACTTCTCTCTGTTCAAGAGGAAATTCGGAAAGGTCTACGGTTCTCTGGAGGAGCATTACCACATATTCTCGGTTTTCAAAGCGAATCTCCGGCGAGCAATGCGTCACCAGAGGATGGATCCTTCGGCTCGCCATGGCGTTACACAGTTTTCGGATCTGACTCCTTCTGAGTTCCGGAGAATGCATTTGGGGGTTAAAGGCGGGTTTAAGCTTCCCAAGGACGCTAATCAAGCCCCGATCCTCCCTACCCAGAATCTCCCAGAGGATTTTGATTGGAGAGATCGTGGCGCAGTGACCCCCGTCAAAAATCAGGTATGGAATCGATTTTTTGGAGAATGTGGTGATCGATTTTGTTTTTTTGTTTGTCTGATGAGTTTGTTGATTAGGGATCTTGTGGATCCTGCTGGAGTTTCAGCACAACAGGTGCGCTTGAAGGTGCTCACTTTCTCGCAACTGGCAAACTTGTCAGCCTCAGTGAGCAACAGCTCGTGGATTGTGATCACGAGGTCTGAGACTTTGGCTTCTTGTTCTTCTCTTCTTCTTTATTTGATGTTATCGAATAACTTTGATCTCTGGATGCAGTGTGATCCAGAGCAGGAAGGTTCATGTGACTCTGGTTGCAACGGTGGGCTAATGAACAGCGCCTTTGAGTACACGCTCAAAACCGGAGGGCTCATGCGAGAGGAAGACTATCCTTACACCGGCACTGATGTTGGGACCTGCAAGTTAGACAAGTCTAGGATCGTCGCCTCTGTCTCCAACTTCAGCGTTGTCTCCATCAACGAGGACCAGATCGCTGCGAACCTCGTCAAAAACGGTCCTCTAGCTGTCGCAATCAACGCGGCTTACATGCAAACCTACATGGGAGGAGTGTCGTGCCCTTACATATGCTCGAGGCGGCTCAACCACGGCGTGTTGCTTGTGGGTTATGGCTCGGCCGGGTTTGCTCAGGCGAGGCTGAAGGAAAAGCCGTATTGGATCATCAAAAACTCGTGGGGAGAAACTTGGGGCGAGAGTGGTTTCTACAAGATTTGCAAAGGCCGTAACATTTGCGGCGTTGATAGTTTGGTCTCCACCGTCGCTGCTGCTTCCGTCTAGAGATTCATTTAGACAAACCTGCATTGATTCTTGTCTCTGTCCAAATCAAACATGTAAATACATTTTAATGAAATGCATTTCCCTGGTGAATCTCATCATCACAAGAACACTCGAGAAGAAGACACAAGGAAAGAAACAATAAACATTCTTAAATTGTTCAAAGAAAGAAAAAGGCAAATAAGAACCCAAATATTCAAAGAACACTCTCCAAAAGGCAAAAGGAAAGAAACGATAACAGTTCTAGATTGTTCAAAGAAAGGAGAAGCCAAATAAGAATCCAAATTTTCAACAACACAAACAAACACTGTTGAAGAAGACAAAAGGAAGGAAAGAAACGATAAAAGAGAGAGTATCACAAACAATCTATAGATTGTTCTCTCAAAACTTTCTCCAAGGGGGGCGCACACTTGGTCAACTTATAACTCCATCACATCTCTGACACGCCTTATGATGCGAACGCACTCTTGGAACAGCAGATACTGAAATGCACAGGCTTTGGTTTCCGAGCTTTCTTCAGAGAGATCAGCTGGTGCTGGTGGGTTTTGACAGATGATCAGGTCAAAACCTCCAAACCTCTCCACCAAATCCTCCAGCGTCTTTGTCCTTACGCTAGCGATATCTTCAATCTGCACGAGCTGTCCGGTTTGTCTCGAAGTCTGCCATCATCTCTTCAGTATGTTTCGGCTCAATCCGCAGTGCTCAACAGAGACAACACATCTCAGATGAATCCTCAAGCGGCTTAAGGCGATTTCAGCACCACCGACTCCACTGAAGAGTGATAGAAGTCTTACCCCATCAGGAAACTGGGCCTTGATCCCTGAGATGTGGTAACCCAATGTATCGGTTTGGAAGCAATAATCAAGCAACTTTAATCTTTCTGCCAACTTTACACCAGCAGTGTGGTACGGCGGATACCCCATGAGGTACTCTAACTTGTCAGGGTTTTTTTCATCAAACATACTTAATTTTGGCTGTGTGAGTATACCGCACCGGTTTTCAGTTGGGAGGTCATGCACGTATACTTCTTTCCTGTGAAACCCTGAGAACATACTAGTATCCACATTCACTGGTTGAATTTCAAACAGGAACTTAGAGACCTTACACCACCATTCGAAAGACAGCTCTCCCAGGTTTGCGTAGAAGAAATAAGGTCTTCGCCTCGACAAACTTGGCTGCATTGCACTGGGGAACTCGGATGCTCTCCGTTTTGACTCATATTGCATCCTCGGGGTTAGCATCATCGAACTTGAGCCTCCCACATGTCCGGGCTCAGCTTGCATCATCCTCGGGGTTACCATCATCGAACTTGAGCCTCCCACATGTCCGGGCTCATATTGCATCATCCTCGGGGTTACCATCATCGAACTTGAGCCTCCCACATGTCCGGGCTCATCTTGCATCCTCGGGGTTTCCATCATCGAACTTGAGCCTCCCTCATGTCCAGGCTCATCTTGCATCCTCAGGGTTTCCATCATCGAACTTGAGCCTCCCATATGTCGGGGTCTTTGACGTTTCTTCCCTCTGTCAACAAAGTCTGGAGATGCATTCTTCTCTTCAATTTTTATTCCTTTACCCTTTGACTTTGACTTCTCTCCTACATTGGCAGTGCCACTCGATGAATCCCCATCACCAAGAACTTCCCAAGTCCTTACGGGAGCAGCTTCCTGCGCTAGTTCCCAAGTCCTTACGGGAGCAGCTTCCTGAGCTAGTTGAAGAGCAATGATATAGTTGATCAATTCCTCCATGAGTGTGTTTTCACCTATCACACACAAAAAAAAGACATGACAAACACCAAGAAATGAGATGCCAAATAAGAACCCTAAAACCTAGATCATAGATCAGAAGTCTTATTAGCGAGATCTCTCATATCAATTCAAGTTCCATGATCTTTCACCTAGTTTCGAAAAGGAAACCTAATAACAATTCAAACCATCTTCACCAAGTTTCAAAAAGGAAACCTCAATAATCAAAAAGTGCATTTATAGTTTTTGAATGAAAGAAGCATTTGGATACCGTTTGCATCAATTGCTCTGTGCACAAGAGTAGGACAAAATCCCATCTCAATCAGCAATGTACTCGCATGATTAGCCACCATTTTGGATTAAATCAACGAAATCTGCACATAAACGTAACATAACGCGACAATCAATGTGTATACCATGATGAATTGTTTTTTTTTAAATAAACACACGGAATAAAGAAATGAACTTGCGCATTGATGATAGTCTGGGAAAAGATAAAATCTTTAATTAAGAAATCTAAAAGTTTTAGTATAATATTAAGATTCCGACAAAGGGGGACCCGAGAGAGATTGAGGAGGAAGAAGGAAAATGCCTGACCTTTGGGTCCACGACGAGTCTCCTCTGAAGCAACAAAGCGGCGCGTGGAGTGAACAGATCCCGACTATGGTGGGATCTCTGATAACGAAGCCGCAATTTATATAAAGCTTGATCAACCACGTGAAGAAAACGAACGGCCCAGATCACACTATAGATAAAATATTTTATCTAGTCAATTAGGTCCAGTCAAAGGTCATTTCTCCGTATTTCTTTAACAATTTATATATTTTAAATGCAAAATTTGCATTAATATTAAGGCTAAAAAATTAAAACATAATAGTACATCTAATAACCATAGATGTTAATTATTTGATTTTTTAGATTCCTCACACATATATAGAAATGAATTATAAATTATTTTTTACAATACTTATATGTGAGTGTCACTAACTAGTAAGTGTCTTTGAGAGTTGTCGTTTGTACCTGAGAGCCCAGAGACGAAGATAAGAAGCAGTTTTGGCAACAGCGCCAAGCACAAACTCGATGGTGTGAATGAGCTGGTGGACAAAGATTTCGCTGAATTCAAACTCTTCATGTCCATGGGATCCCCCATTTGTTTCTACTTGAAGACTCTCATCTGTCTCGTCGAGCTGTACATATGACTCACCTTGATGTCTCTGGAGAAGGCAAAAAGAAATCAAGTTTCAGTTATGGTCAAGCACAAACTCAATTTGAAGTTTTTAAGTAAACCGACGAGGAAAGGCACCCACAGCTTCATGTTGTTTCTTCAAGATGAACGGCTTTGGCAACAACATCCACGGTACAGAAACCAGTGCCAGAAAGAGGAATGTGAGCTGAAACGGAAAAGGAATGCGATGAGAACTTATAATTTTTTTTATGAAAATACAGAGAAGGAGCATTTGTTGGGTGTCGATGCAAACCTGTACTGTTTTCTGGTTAGGGAAAAGCTGATTCTCTCCTAAATCATCCATAGGGCTCAGGAACATGTAGATCATTACGTGATATAAATCCGCTTGAGAGCCAGTGCACCACTTTATGATGATGAGGACCGATAGATAGCCAAACAAGCAGTTCAAGAATATCATCTGGGGAACGAACTGGAAACCGGGAACGGTTCAGCTCATTAAAAGTAGCATGTTAAAATATAGCCTATAAACGGTTAATCACCTAAATCCTGAGGAAACAATAGATGTGTGTGCCAACTAACATTCTCACGGGAATATTAGATTACACATACAGGTCAATCTATCGCCGACATGTCAAATCATCATTGGTTTGAATTTCAGTTTCAAAATATTCCGCTTTTTCTGTTATTTTACTATATATAATTCCTTTCTCTCCCGTCTCTGTTCTCTCCATATCGGTTACTCATGGATCATCTTAGAGTTTTCTTCTCCCTTTCTCTTCTCTTTGTTTTCGTCTCTGTTTCGATTTACGAGAACGACGGCGAGGATCTATTGATCCGGCAAGTGTTTAATGGATCAGAGCCGGGAGTTTTGACATCAGAGGATCACTTCTCTCTGTTCAAGAGGAAATTCGGTAAAGTTTACGGTTCTCTCGAGGAGCATTACCACAGATTCTCCGTTTTCAAAGCGAATCTCCGGCGAGCGATGCGTCACCAGAGGATGGATCCTTCGGCTCGCCATGGCGTTACGCAGTTTTCGGATCTGACTCCTTCCGAGTTTTGGAGAATGCATATGGGGGTTAAAGGCGGGTTTAAGCTTCCCAAGGATGCTAATCAAGCCCCGATCCTCCCTACCCAGAATCTCCAAGAGGATTTCGATTGGAGAGATCACGGCGCAGTGACCCCCGTCAAAAATCAGGTATTTTTTGATTTGGAGAGATCGAATTTTATGTTTTGTGTGTGTCTGATGAGTCTTTTGTTGATTAGGAATCTTGTGGATCATGCTGGAGTTTCAGCACTACAGGTGCGCTTGAAGGTGCTCACTTCCTCGCAACTGGCAAACTCGTCAGCCTCAGTGAGCAACAGCTCGTCGATTGTGATCACGAGGTCTGAGACTGAGACTTGCCTTCTTATTCTTCTCTTTTTTTTTGAGGTTATCGAATAACTTTCATCTATGTATGCAGTGTGATTCAGAGCAGGAAGGTTCATGCGACTCTGGTTGCAACGGTGGGCTAATGAACAGCGCCTTTGAGTACACGCTCAAAACCGGAGGGCTCATGCGAGAGGAAGACTATCCTTACACCGGCACTGATGGTGGGACCTGCAAGTTAGACAAGTCTAGGATCGTGGCCTCTATCTCCAACTTCAGCGTTGTCTCCATCTACGAGGACCAGATCGCTGCAAACCTTGTCAAAAACAGTCCTCTAGCTGTCGCAATCAACGCGGCTTACATGCAAACCTACATGGGAGGAGTGTCGTGCCCTTACATATGCTCGAGGCGGCTCAACCACGGTGTGTTGCTGGTGGGTTATGGCTTGGCCGGGTTTGCTCACGCGAGGTTGAAGGAAAAGCCGTATTGGATCATCAAAAACTCATGGGGAGAAACTTGGGGCAAGAGTGGTTTTTATAAGATTTGCAAAGGCCGTAACATTTGCGGCGTTGACAGTTTGGTCTCCACCGTCGCTGCTGCCTCCGTCTAAAGAGGTTTTCATTGTTCATTTAGACAAAACCAGCATTGATTCTTGTCTCTCTCCAAATCAAACATGTAAATAAATTTTATTGAAATGCATTCAATCTCAACATCACAAGAACACTCTTGAAGAAGACAAAAGGAAAGAAACGATAAACATTCTTAGATTGTTTCAAGAAAGGAAATGTCAAATAAGAACCCATATATTCAAAGAACAATCTCCAAGAAGGCAAAAGGAAAGAAACGATAAACATTCTAGATTGTTCAAAGAAAGGAAGATGCCAAATAAGAATCCAAATTTTTAACAACACAAACAAACACTGTTGAAGAAGACAAAAGGAAGGAAAGAAACGATAAAAGAGAGAGTATCACAAACAATCTATAGATTGTTCTCTCAAAACTTTCTCCAAGGGGGCACACTTATAACTCCATCACATCTCTAGCACGCCTTATGATGCGAACGCACTCTTGGAACAGCAGATACTGAAATGCACAGGCTTTGGTTCCCGAGCTTCCTTCAGAGAGATCAGCTGGTGCTGGTGGGTTTTGGCAGATGATCAGGTCAAAACCTCCAAACCTCTCCACCAAATCCTCCAGCGTCTTTGTCCTTACGCTAGCGATGTCTTCAATCTGCACAAGCTCTCCGGTTTGTCTCGAAGTCTGCCATCATCTCTTCAGTATGTTCCGGCTCAATCCGCAGTGCTCAACAGAGACAACACATCTCAGATGAATCCTCAAGCGGCTTAAGGCGATTTCAGCACCACCGACTTCACTGAAGAGTGATAGAAGTCTTACCCCGTCAGGAAACTAAGCCTTGATCCCTGAGATGTGGTAACCCAATGTATCGGTTTGGAAGCAATAATCAAGCAACTTCAATCTTTCAGCCAACTTTACACCAGCAGTGTGGTACGGCGGATACCCCATCAGATACTCTAACTTTTCAGGATTTTTTTCATCAAACATACTCAATTTTGGCTGTGTGAGTATACCACACCTGTTTTCAGTTGGGAGGTCATGCACGTATACTTCTTTCCTGTAAAATCCGGAGAACATACTAGTATCCACATTCACTGGTTGAATTTCAAACAGGAACTTAGAGACCTTAAACCACCATTCGAAAGACAGCTCTCCCAGGTTTGCGTAGAAGAAATAAGGTCTTCGCCTCGACAAACTTGGCTGCATTGCACTGGGGAACTCGGATGCTCTCCGTTTCGACTCATATTGCATCCTCAGGGTTAGCATCATCGAACTTGAGCCTCCCACATGTCCGGGCTCATATTGCATCATCCTCGGGGTTACCATCATCGAACTTGAGCCTCCCACAAGTCCGGGCTCATATTGCATCATCCTCGAGGTTACCGTCATCGAACTTGAGCCTCCCACTTGTCCGGGCTCATATTGCATCATCCTCGGAGTTACCATCATCGAACTTGAGCCTCCCACATGTCCGGGCTCATCTTGCATCCTCAAGGTTACCATCATCGAACTTGAGTCTCCCACATGTCCGGGCTCATCTTGCATCCTCGGGGTTTCCATCATCGAACTTGAGCCTCCCACATGTCGGGGTCTTTGACGTTTCTTCCCTCTGTCAACAAAGTCTGGAGATGCCTTCTTCTCTTCAATTTTTATTCCTTTACCCTTTGAATTTGACTTCTCCCCCACATTGGCAGTGGCAGTGCCACTCGATGAATCCCCATCACCAAGAACTTCCCAAGTCCTTTTGGGAGCAGCTTCCTGAGCTAGTTCCCAAGTCCTTACGGGAGCAGCTTCCTGAGCTAGTTGAAGAGCAATGATATAGTTGATCAATTCCTCCATGGGTGTGTTTTCACCTATCACAAAAAAAAAACAAGACAAACACCAAGAAATGAGATGCCAAATGAGAACCCTAAAAACCTAGATCATAGATCAAAAGTCTTATTAGCGAGATCTCTCATATCAATTCAAGTTCTAATATCTTTCACCTAGTTTCGAAAAGGAATCCTAATAACAATTCAAACCATCTTCACCAAGTTTCAAAAAGGAAACCTCAATAATCAAACAATGCATCTATAGTTTTTTGAATGAAAGAAGCATTTGGATACCGTTTGCATTAATTGCTCTGTGCACAAGAGTAGGACAAAATCCCATCTCAATCAGCAATGTACTCGCATGATTAGCCACCATTTTGGATTAAATCAACGAAATCTGCACATAAACGTAACATAACGCGACAATCAATGTGTAAACCATGATGAATTGTTTTTTTTTTTAAAATAAACACACGGAATAAAGAAATGAACTTGCGCATTGATGATAGTCTGGGAAACGATAAAATCTTTAATTAAAAAATCTAAAAGTTTTAGTATAATATTAAGATTCCGACAAAGGGGGACCCGAGAGAAATTGATGAGGAAGAAGGAAAATGCCTGACCTTTGGGTCCACGACGAGTATCCTCTGAAGCAACAAAGTGGCGCGTGGAGTGAACAGATCCCGACTATGGTGGGATCTCTGATAACGAAGCCGCAATATATATAAAGCTTGATCAACCACGTGAGGAAAACGAACGGCCCAGATCACACTATAGATAAAATGTTTTATCTAGTCAATTAGGTCCAGTCAAAGATATTTTCTCCGTATTTTTTTAACAATTTATTTTTTTTTAAATGTAAAATTTGCATTAATATTAAGGCTAAAAAATTAAAACATAATGGTACATCTAATAACCATATATGTTAATTATTTGATTTTTTAGATTTCTCACACATATATAGAAATCAATCATAAATTATTTTTTACAATACTTTTTTTTTTACTTTTCAATTTAATATTTTATTCTATACCCAATAAGACTTTATTTTTTCCTTTTGTAAAATAAAACACATTGAATATTGACTTGCAGAACATCAATCTTTTGGAAACAATATAAAAATCCAAAAAATCAAACAATTAAGAAGAGAAAGAGTATTAGATGTACATCTAATAATTTATTTACTTGGTGGTCCAGTTTGTTACATATAAGAGATTATAGAATAACAGTTATTTCATGTAAAAACAAAATTTAAATCGTCGATATTTGTAACAGACTGGACCACCAAGATTTTGTGATCCAACTGGTATGTCAAAGGACTAATTGTATTTAGGGCTTACATTCAGAGTTTCTATATATGAAAAAACAAATTAAAAGAGAAGAAACAACCTAAGACATGGTGGAATGGACTAATTAATAAATAATCTTGTTTTTCTTTCCTTTTTATTGCCTCTTAATGACGGTTGCTTGATTAACACTGAACATTGAACACAAGAGCACATAAGTGGCCAACAATGCAAAACTAGGAACCTCCATCTTCTTGTTATATACATATATTCAACAACCAATTAGAGTTCAAATTATAGATTTCAAATTCACATGTATTGAAAGTAATTTAGTTTTTTTAGCGACTTGATCTGCATCATTAGATAAACTTTTTGTTTCAACAAGGATCTCCACGGAATGGTAATTAGGGTTTTATTTCCACGCATTCAATATCTTATTATATAGAGACAGCTAGCTACCGTTGAATAAGTTAGGTCAAACCGTATATTAAACAAAATTAATAGATAATTGGTAATAACATTATGAACGCATGTGTCAATTCTAATATATTTGTTGGCTTTGTCGATTTTAAATATTTTTGATTACTTAATTTCCTTTCTAATAAAATTCTATTCTAACTTCATTATACAATTGAGGTTGAAACAGAGTGAAAGAGAAGAAGAGACTTTAGAAAATCTGTGTATTGCAAACGAGCATGAGTTACTATTATAGCTTTAATGCTCTAGATTTAACATATCAAATAATGATTATTGATAAACAAAATTATTGGCTCAGATCAGGGAGACCAAAAGACATCAGCTTATTTATCTACACAAACAAGTACAACAACAAATGGGGCCTTTTCTTTTAACCTCGAATAAATCCCTTTCTTCCCCAACTCTTTTTATTTTATTTTAATTTCACCCTCTGCAAATGTAAAATAATATCAATATAATGAGGAAATATGGGGGAGAGAAGAAAGAAGCATCATCATCCCAAAGTTTTCCATACATAAATTATATATAAAAAATAATTGATGAACTCCGAATCCTTCTCATACCCTTACATATATGCACACGCAGAAGAAGGCATTTTCGGTAATTCTTGGCTCGAAGAAGATCCATCATCATCACTCGTCTTCGTTTCCGACGAGAGCGAACGTGAAAGGAGAAACTTTGTAACCATCGCCTTCGTAGAACTTGTTCTGATACTCCACCCAGTGAAGACGCAGCGCGTGAAGGAACGCGCTCAACGTCTCCATCATCAGAAGCACCCCCACGGTTGCAAAGATGAAGACGAGTATCCTAACGATCAGGATGAAGATGTTGTTGAAGCTGTTGCCGTGAACAACAAGGAAGACAAGAGAGACAAGACTCTTTGTGTTATCAACACCTTCTTACAGAGTAATTTAATAACTGAGATTTGCAGAAAGAGTGTTTAAGCGTATATAACAGCGTCTACTTACCCCCAAGCCATAAGGAGAACCTTCTCGTAGAACACTGACGACAATTCCGAGTGGGCAAGACTGAACAAGTAAAGCCCAACATAGGCATATAGATTAGTCATCATGACATGATGAGTCTAGCTTATATGTGAGTGTCACTAACTAACTAGTAAGTGTCTTTGAGAGTTGTCGTTTGTACCTGAGAGCCCAGAGACGAAGATAAGAAGCAGTTTTGGCAACAGCGCCAAGCACAAACTCGATGGTGTGAATGAGCTGGTGGACAAAGATTTCGCTGAATTCAAACTCGTCATGTCCATGGGATCCCCCATTTGTTTCTACTTGAAGACTCTCATCTGTCTCGTCGAGCTGTGCATATGACTCACCTTGATGTCTCTGGAGAAGGCAAAAAGAAATCAAGTTTCAGTGGTCAAGCACAAACTCAATTTGAAGTTTTTAAGTAAACCGACGAGGAAAGGCACCCACAGCTTCATGTTGTTTCTTCAAGATGAACGGCTTTGGCAACAACATCCACGGTACAGAAACCAGTGCCAGAAAGAGGAATGTGAGCTGAAACGGAAAAGGAATGCGATGAGAACTTATAATTTTTTTTATGAAAATACAGAGAAGGAGCATTTGTTGGGTGTCGATGCAAACCTGTACTGTTTTCTGGTTAGGGAAAAGCTGATTCTCTCCTAAATCATCCATAGGGCTCAGGAACATGTAGATCATTACGTGATATAAATCCGCTTGAGAGCCAGTGCACCACTTTATGATGATGAGGACCGATAGATAGCCAAACAAGCAGTTCAAGAATATCATCTGGGGAACGAACTGGAAACCGGGAACGGTTCAGCTCATTAAAAGTAGCATGTTAAAATATAGCCTATAAACGGTTAATCACCTAAATCCCGAAGAAACAATAGATGTGTGTGCCAACTAACATTCTCACAGGAATATTAGATTACACGTACAGGTCAATCTATCGCCGACGTGTCAAATCATCATTGGTTTGAATTTCAGTTTCAAAATATTCCGCTTTTTCCGTTATTTTACTATATATAATCCCTTTCTCTCCCGTCTCTGTTCTCTCCAGATCGGTTACTCATGGATCATCTTAGGGTTTTCTTCTCCCTTTCTCTTCTCTTTTTTTTCGTCTCTGTTTCGATTTGCGAGAACGACGGCGAGGATCTATTGATCCGGCAAGTGTTTAATGGATCGGAGCCGGGAGTTTTGACATCGGAGGATCACTTCTCTCTGTTCAAGAGGAAATTCGGTAAAGTTTACGGTTCTCTCGAGGAGCATTACCACAGATTCTCCATTTTCAAAGCGAATCTCCGGCGAGCGATGCGTCACCAGAGGATGGATCCTTCGGCTCGCCATAGCGTTATGCAGTTTTCGGATCTGATTCATTCCGAGTATTGGAGAATGTATATGGGGGTTAAAGGCGGGTTTAAGCTTCCCAAGGACGCTAATCAAGCCCCGATCCTCCCTACCCAGAATCTCCCAGAGGATTTCGATTGGAGAGATCACGGCGCAGTGACCCCCGTCAAAAATCAGGTATTTTTTTATTTGGAAAGATCGAATTTTGTGTTTTGTGTGTGTCTGATGAGTCTTTTGTTGATTAGGAATCTTGTGGATCGTGCTGGAGTTTCAGCACTACAGGTGCGCTTGAAGGTGCTCACTTCCTCGCAACTGGCAAACTCGTCAGCCTCAGTGAGCAACAGCTCGTCGATTGTGATCACGAGGTCTGAGACTGAGACTTGCCTTCTTATTCTTCTCTTTTTTTTTTTTTGAGGTTATCGAATAACTTTCATTTATGTATGCAGTGTGATTCAGAGCAGGAAGGTTCATGCAAATCTGGTTGCAACGGTGGGCTAATGAACAGCGCCTTTGAGTACACGCTCAAAACCAGAGGGCTCATGCGAGAGGAAGACTATCCTTACACCGGCACTGAAGGTGAGACCTGCAAGTTAGACAAGTCTAGGATCGTGGCCTCTGTCTCCAACTTCAGCGTTGTCTCCATCAACGAGGACCAGATCGCTGCGAACCTTGTCAAAAACAGTCCTCTAGCTGTCGTAATCAACGCGGCTTACATGCAAACCTACATGGGAGGAGTGTCGTGCCCTTACATATGCTCGAGGTGGCTCAACCACGGTGTGTTGCTGGTGGGTTATGGCTCGGCCGGGTTTGCTCAGGCGAGGTTGAAGGAAAAGCCGTATTGGATCATCAAAAACTCATGGGGAGAAACTTGGGGCGAGAGTGGTTTCTATAAGATTTGCAAAGGCCGTAACATTTGCGGCGTTGACAGTTTGGTCTCCACCGTCGCTGCTGCCTCCGTCTAAAGAGGTTTTCATTGTTCATTTAGACAAAACCAGCATTGATTCTTGTCTCTCTCCAAATCAAACATGTAAATAAATTTTATTGAAATGCATTCAATCTCAACATCACAAGAACACTCTCGAAGAAGACAAAAGGAAAGAAACGATAAACATTCTTAGATTGTTTCAAGAAAGGAAATGCCAAATAAGAACCCAGATATTAAAAGAACAATCTCCAAGAAGGCAAAAGGAAAGAAACGATAAACATTCTAGATTGTTCAAAGAAAGGAAGATGCCAAATAAGAATCCAAATTTTCAACAACACAAACAAACACTGTTGAAGAAGACAAAAGGAAGGAAATAAACGATAAAAGAGAGAGTATCACAAACAATCTATAGATTTTTCTCTCAAAACTTTCTCCAAGGGGGCACACTTATAACTCCATCACATCTCTAGCACGCCTTATGATGCGAACGCACTCTTGGAACAGCAGATACTGAAATGCACAGGCTTTGGTTCCCGAGCTTCCTTCAGAGAGATCAGCTGGTGCTGGTGGGTTTTGGCAGATGATCAGGTCAAAACCTCCAAACCTCTCCACCAAATCCTCCAGCGTCTTTGTCCTTACGCTAGCGATGTCTTCAATCTGCACAAGCTCTCCGGTTTGTCTTGAAGTCTGCCACCATCTCTTCAGTATGTTCCGGCTCAATCCGCAGTGCTCAACAGAGACAACACATCTCAGATGAATCCTCAAGCGGCTTAAGGCGATTTCAGCACCACCGACTCCACTGAAGAGTGATAGAAGTCTTACCCCGTCAGGAAACTGAGCCTTGATCCCTGAGATGTGGTAACCCAATGTATCGGTTTGGAAGCAATAATCAAGCAACTTCAATCTTTCAGCCAACTTTACACCAGCAGTGTGGTACGGCGGATACCCCATCAGATACTCTAACTTTTCAGGGTTTTTTTCATCAAACATACTCAATTTTGGCTGTGTGAGTATACCACACCTGTTTTCAGTTGGGAGGTCATGCACGTATACTTCTTTCCTGTGAAACCCGGAGAACATACTAGTATCCACATTCACTTGTTGAATTTCAAACAGGAACTTAGAGACCTTACACCTCCATTCGAAAGACAGCTCTCCCAGGTTTGCGTAGAAGAAATAAGGTCTTCGCCTCGATAAACTTGGCTGCATTACACTGGGGAACTCGGATGCTCTCCGTTTCGACTCATATTGCATCCTCGGGGTTAGCATCATCGAACTTGAGTCTCCCACATGTCCGGGATCATATTGCATCATCCTCGGGGTTACCATCATCAAACCTGAGCCTCCTACATGTCCGGGCTCATATTGCATCATCCTCGAGGTTACCATCATCGAACGTGAGCCTCCCACATGTCCGGGCTCATATTGCATCATCCTCGGGGTTACCATCATCGAACTTGAGCCTCCCACATGTCCGGGCCCATCTTGCATCCTCGGGGTTACCATCATCGAACTTGAGCCTCCCACATGTCCGGGCTCATCTTGCATCCTCGGGGTTTCCATCATCGAACTTGAGCCTCCCACATGTCGGGGTCTTTGACGTTTCTTCCCTCTGTCAACAAAGTCTGGAGATGCCTTCTTCTCTTTAATTTTTATTCCTTTACCCTTTGACTTTGACTTCTCCCCCACATTGGCAGTGGCAGTGCCACTCGATGAACCCCCATCACCAAGAACTTCCCAAGTCCTTACGGGAGCAGCTTCCTGAGCTAGTTCCCAAGTCCTTACGGGAGCAGCTTCCTGAGCTAGTTGAAGAGCAATGATATAGTTGATCAATTCCTCCATGGGTGTGTTTTCACCTATTAAAAAAAAAAAAAAAAACAAGACAAACACCAAGAAATTAGATGCCAAATGAGAACCTTAAAAACCTAGATCATAGATCAAAAGTCTTATTAGCGAGATCTCTCATATCAATTCAAGTTCTATGATCTTTCACCTAGTTTCGAAAAGGAAACCTAATAACAATTCAAACCATCTTCACCAAGTTTCAAAAAGGAAACCTCAATAATCAAACAATGCATTTATAGTTTTTTGAATGAAAGAAGCATTTGGATACCGTTTGCATCAATTGCTCTGTGCACAAGAGTAGGATAAAATCCCATCTCAATCAGCAATATACTCGCATGATTAGCCACCATTTTGTATTAAATCAACGAAATCTGCACATAAACGTAACATAATGCGACAATCAATGTGTAAACCATGATGAATTGTTTTTTTTTTTAAAATAAACACACGGAATAAAGAAATGAACTTGCGCATTGATGATAGTCTGGGAAAAGATAAAATCTTTAATTAAGAAATCTAAAAGTTTTAGTATAATATTAAGATTCCGACAAAGGGGGACCCGAGAGAGATTGAGGAGGAAGAAGGAAAATGCCTGACCTTTGGGTCCACGACGAGTTTCCTCTGAAGCAACAAAGCGGCGCGTGGAGTGAACAGATCCCGGCTATGGTGGGATCTCTGATAACAAAGCCGCAATTTATATAAAGCTTGATCAACCATGTGAGGAAAACGAACGGCCCAGATCACACTATAGATAAAATATTTTATCTAGTCAATTAGGTCCAGTCAAAGGTCTTTTTTCCGTATTTCTTTAACAATTTATGTATTTTAAATGCAAAATTTGTATTAATATTAAGGCTAAAAAATTAAAACATAATGGTACATCTAATAACCATAGATGTTAATTATTTGATTTTTTAGATTTCTCACACATATATAGAAATCAATCATAAATTATTTTTTACAATACTTTTTTTTTTACTTTTCAATTTAATATTTTATTCTATATCCAATAAGACTTTATTTTTTCCTTTTGTAAAACAAAACACATTGAATATTGACTTGCAGAACATCAATCTTTTGGAAACAATATAAAAATCCAAAAAATCAAAAAATTAAGAAGAGAAAGAGTATTAGATGTACATCTAATAATTTATTTACTTGGTGGTCCAGTCTGTTACATATAAGAGATTATAGAATAACAGTTATTACATGTAAAAACAAAATTTAAATCATCGATATATGTAACAGACTGGACCACCAAAATTTTGTGATCCAACTGGTATGTCAAAGGACTAATTGTATTTAGGGCTTGCTTTCAGAGTTTCTATATATGAAAAAATAAATTAAAAGAGAAGAAACAACCTAAGACATGGTGGAATGGACTAATTAATAAATAATCTTGTTTTTCTATCCTTTTTATTGCCTCATAATGACGGTTGCTTGATTAACACTGAACATTGAACACAAAAGTACATAAGTGGCCAACAATGCAAAACTAGGAACCTCCATCTTCTTGTTATATACATATCTTCAACAACCTTACATGAATTAGAGTTCAAATTATAGATTTCAAATTCACATGTATTGAAAGTAATTTAGTTTTTTTAGCGACTTGATCTGCATCATTAGATAAACCCTTTGTTTCAACAAGGATCTCCACGGAATGGTAATTAGGGTTTTATTTCCACGCATTCAATATCTTATCATATAGAGACAGCTAGCTACCGTTGAATAAGTTAGGTCAAACCGTATATTAAACTAAATTAATAGATAATTGGCAATAACATTATGAATGCATGTGTCAATTCTAGTATATTCGTTGGCTTTGTCGATTTTAAATATTTTTGATTACTTAATTTCCTTTCTAATAAAATTCTATTCTAACTCCATTATACAGTTGAGGTTGAAACAGAGTGAAAGAAAAGAAGAGACTTTAGAAAATCTGTGTATTGCAAACGAGCACGAGTTACTATTATAGCTTTAATGCTCTAGATTTAAGAGGGGAACATATCAAATAATGATTATTGTTAAACAAAATTATTGGCTCAAATCAGGGAGACCAAAAGACATCAGCTTATTTTTCTACACAAACAAGTACAACAACAAATGGGACCTTTTCTTTTAACCTCGAATAAATCATTTTCTTCCCCAACTCTTTTTATTTTATTTTAATTTTACCCTCTGCAAATGTAAAATAATTTCAATATAATGAGGAAATATGGGGGAGAGAAGAAAGAAGCATCATCATCCCAAAGTTTTCCATACATAAATTATATATAAAAAATAATTGATGAACTCCGAATCCTTCTCATACCCTTACATATATGCACACGCAGAAGAGGCATTTTCGGTAATTCTTGGCTCGAAGAAGATCCATCATCATCACTCGTCTTCGTTTCCGACGAGAGCGAACGTGAAAGGAGCAAATTTGTAACCATCGCCTTCGTAGAACTTGTTCTGATACTCCACCCAGTGAAGACGCAGCGCGTGAAGGAACGCGCTCAACGTCTCCATCACCAGAAGCACCCCCACGGTTGCAAAGATGAAGACGAGTATCCCAACGATCAGGATGAAGATGTTGTTGAAGCTGTTGCCGTGAACAACAAGGAAGACAAGAGAGACAAGACTCTTTGTGTTATCAACACCTTCTTACAGAGTAATTTAATAACTGAGATTTGCAGAAAGAGTGTTTAAGCGTGTCTACTTACCCCCAAGCCATAAGGAGAACCTTCTCGTAAAACACTGACGACAACTCCGAGTGGGCAAGACTGAACAAGTAAAGCCCAACATAGGCATATAGATTAGTCATCATGACATGATGAGTCTAGCTTATATGTGAGTGTCACTAACTAACTAGTAAGTGTCTTTGAGAGTTGTCGTTTGTACCTGAGAGCCCAGAGACGAAGATAAGAAGCAGTGTTGGAAACAGCGCCAAGCACAAACTCGATTGTGTGAATGAGCTGGTGGACAAAGATTTCGCTGAATTCAAACTCTTCATGTCCATGGGATCCCCCATTTGTTTCTACTTGAAGACTCTCATCTGTCTCGTCGAGCTGTGCATATGACTCACCTTGATGTCTCTGGAGAAGGCAAAAAGAAATCAAGTTTCAGTTATGGTCAAGCACAAACTCAATTTGAAGTTTTTAAGTAAACCGACGAGGAAAGGCACCCACAGCTTCATGTTGTTTCTTCAAGATGAACGGCTTTGGCAACAACATCCACGGTACAGAAACCAGTGCCAGAAAGAGGAATGTGATCTGAAACAGAAAAGGAATGCGATGAGAACTTATAATTTTTTTTATGAAAATACAGAGAAGGAGCATTTGTTGGGTGTCGATGCAAACCTGTACAGTTTTCTGGTTAGGGAAAAGCTGATTCTCTCCTAAATCATCCATAGGGCTCAGGAACATGTAGATCATTACGTGATACAAATCCGCTTGAGAGCCAGTGCACCACTTTATGATGATGAGGACCGATAGATAGCCAAACAAGCAGTTCAAGAATATCATATGGGGAACGAACTGGAAACCGGGAACGGTTCAGCTCATTAAAAGTAGCATGTTAAAATATAGCCTATAAACGGTTAATCATCATTAGATAGGAATCCAAATATAAAGAGAGAAACAAAGAATATAACTACAGTGTATACAAAAAGTTTGAGAGTAAGCATTACACAATCTCCAAGATCTTACTTTTTTTTCACCTAAATCCCGAGGAAACAATAGATGTGTGTGCCAACTAACATTCTCGCAGGAATATTAGATTACACGTACAGGTCAATCTATCGCCGACGTGTCAAATCATCATTCGTTTGAATTTCAGTTTCAAAATATTCCGCTTTTTCCATTATTTTACTATATATAATCCCTTTCTCTTCCGTCTCTGTTCTCTCCATATCGGTTACTCATGGATCATCTTAGGGTTTTCTTTTCCCTTTCTCTTCTCTTTGTTTTCGTCTCTGTTTCGGTTTGCGAGAACGACGGCGAGGATCTATTGATCCGGCAAGTGGTTAATGGATCGGAGCCGGGAGTTTTGACATCGGAGGATCACTTCTCTCTGTTCAAGAGGAAATTCGGTAAAGTTTACGGTTCTCTCGAGGAGCATTACCACAGATTCTCCGTTTTCAAAGCGAATCTCCGGCGAGCGATGCGTCACCAGAGGATGGATCCTTCGGCTCGCCATGGCGTTACGCAGTTTTCAGATCTGACTCCTTCCGAGTTTTGGAGAATGCATATGGGGGTTAAAGGCGGGTTTAAGCTTCCCAAGGACGCTAATCAAGCCTCGATCCTCCCTACCCAGAATCTCCTAGAGGATTTCGATTGGAGAGATCACGGCACAGTGACCCCCGTCAAAAATCAGGTATTTTTCGATTTGGAGAGATCGAATTTTGTGTTTTTGTGTGTGTCTGATGAGTCTTTTGTTGATTAGGAATCTTGTGGATCGTGCTGGAGTTTCAGCACTACAGGTGCGCTTGAAGGTGCTCACTTCCTCGCAACTGGCAAACTCGCCAGCCTCAGTGAACAACAGCTCGTCGATTGTGATCACGAGGTCTGAGACTGAGACTTGCCTTCTTATTCTTCTCTTTTTTTTTTTTTGAGGTTATCGAATAACTTTCATCTCTGTATGCACTGTGATCCAGAGCAGGAAGGTTCATGCGACTCTGGTTGCAACGGTGGGCTAATGAACTGCGCCTTTGAGTACACGCTCAAAACCGGAGGGCTCATGCGAGAGGAAGACTATCCTTACATCGGCACTGATGGAGGGACCTGCAAGTTAGACAAGTCTAGGATCGTGGCCTCTGTCTCCAACTTCAGCATTGTCTCCATCAACGAGGACCAGATCGCTGCGAACCTTGTCAAAAACGGTCCTCTAGCTGTCGCAATCAATGCGGCTTACATGCAAACCTACATGGGAGGAGTGTCGTGCCCTTACATATGCTCGAGGCGGCTCAACCACGGTGTGTTGCTGGTGGGTTATGGCTCGGCCGGGTTTGCTCAGGCGAGGTTGAAGGAAAAGCCGTATTGGATCATCAAAAACTCATGGGGAGAAACTTGGGGCGAGAGTGGTTTCTATAAGATTTGCAAAGGCCGTAACATTTGCGGCGTTGACAGTTTGGTCTCCACCGTCGCTGCTGCCTCCGTCTAAAGAGGTTTTCATTGTTCATTTAGACAAAACCAGCATTGATTCTTGTCTCTCTCCAAATCAAACATGTAAATAAATTTTATTGAAATGCATTCAATCTCAACATCACAAGAACACTCTTGAAGAAGACAAAAGGAAAGAAACGATAAACATTCTTAGATTGTTTCAAGAAAGGAAATGCCAAATAAGAACCCATATATTCAAAGAACAATCTCCAAGAAGGCAAAAGGAAAGAAACGATAAACATTCTAGATTGTTCAAAGAAAGGAAGATGCCAAATAAGAATCCAAATTTTCAACAACACAAACAAACACTGTTGAAGAAGACAAAAGGAAGGAAAGAAACGATAAAAGAGAGAGTATCACAAACAATCTATAGATTGTTCTCTCAAAACTTTCTCCAAGGGGGCACACTTATAACTCCATCACATCTCTAGCACGCCTTATGATGCGAACGCACTCTTGGAACAGCAGATACTGAAATGCACAGGCTTTGGTTCCCGAGCTTCCTTCAGAGAGATCAGCTGGTGCTGGTGGGTTTTGGCAGATGATCAGGTCAAAACCTCCAAACCTCTCCACCAAATCCTCCAGCGTCTTTGTCCTTACGCTAGCGATGTCTTCAATCTGCACAAGCTCTCCGGTTTGTCTTGAAGTCTGCCACCATCTCTTCAGTATGTTCCGGCTCAATCCGCAGTGCTCAACAGAGACAACACATCTCAGATGAATCCTCAAGCGGCTTAAGGCGATTTCAGCACCACCGACTCCACTGAAGAGTGATAGAAGTCTTACCCCGTCAGGAAACTGAGCCTTGATCCCTGAGATGTGGTAACCCAATGTATCGGTTTGGAAGCAATAATCAAGCAACTTCAATCTTTCAGCCAACTTTACACCAGCAGTGTGGTACGGCGGATACCCCATCAGATACTCTAACTTTTCAGGGTTTTTTTCATCAAACATACTCAATTTTGGCTGTGTGAGTATACCACACCTGTTTTCAGTTGGGAGGTCATGCACGTATACTTCTTTCCTGTGAAACCCGGAGAACATACTAGTATCCACATTCACTTGTTGAATTTCAAACAGGAACTTAGAGACCTTACACCTCCATTCGAAAGACAGCTCTCCCAGGTTTGCGTAGAAGAAATAAGGTCTTCGCCTCGACAAACTTGGCTGCATTACACTGGGGAACTCGGATGCTCTCCGTTTCGACTCATATTGCATCCTCGGGGTTAGCATCATCGAACTTGAGCCTCCCACATGTCCGGGCTCATATTGCATCATCCTCGGGGTTACCATCATCGAACCTGAGCCTCCCACATGTCCGGGCTCATATTGCATCATCCTCGAGGTTACCATCATCGAACTTGAGCCTCCCACATGTCCGGGCTCATATTGCATCATCCTCGGGGTTACCATCATCGAACTTGAGCCTCCCACATGTCCGGGCTCATATTGCATCATCCTCGGGGTTACCATCATCGAACTTGAGCCTCCCACATGTCCGGGCTCATCTTGCATCCTCGGGGTTACCATCATCGAACTTGAGCCTCCCACATGTCCGGGCTCATCTTGCATCCTCGGGGTTTCCATCATCGAACTTGAGCCTCCCACATATCGGGGTCTTTGACGTTTCTTCCCTCTGTCAACAAAGTCTGGAGATGCCTTCTTCTCTTCAATTTTTATTCCTTTACCCTTTGACTTTGACTTCTCCCCCACATTAGCCGTGGCAGTGCCACTCGATGAACCCCCATCACCAAGAACTTCCCAAGTCCTTACGGGAGCAGCTTCCTGAGCTAGTTCCCAAGTCCTTACGGGAGCAGCTTCCTGAGCTAGTTGAAGAGCAATGATATAGTTGATCAATTCCTCCATGGGTGTGTTTTCACCTATCACAAAAAAAAACAAGACAAACACCAAGAAATGAGATGCCAAATGAGAACCTTAAAAACCTAGATCATAGATCAAAAGTCTTATTAGCGAGATCTCTCATATCAATTCAAGTTCTATGATCTTTCACCTAGTTTCGAAAAGGAAACCTAATAACAATTCAAACCACCTTCACCAAGTTTCAAAAAGGAACCCTCAATAATCAAACAATGCATTTATAGTTTTTTGAATGAAAGAAGCATTTGGATACCGTTTGCATCAATTGCTCTGTGCACAAGAGTAGGGCAAAATCCCATCTCAATCAGCAATGTACTCGCATGATTAGCCACCATTTTGTATTAAATCAACGAAATCTGCACATAAACGTAACATAACGCGACAATCAATGTGTAAACCATGATGAATTGTTTTTTTTTTTAAATAAACACACGGAATAAAGAAATGAACTTGCGCATTGATGATAGTCTGGGAAAAGATAAAATCTTTAATTAAGAAATCTAAAAGTTTTAGTATAATATTAAGATTCCGACAAAGGGGGACCCGAGAGAGATTGAGGAGGAAGAAGGAAAATGCCTGACCTTTGGGTCCACGACGAGTCTCTTCTGAAGCAACAAAGCGGCGCGTGGAGTGAACAGATCCCGGCTATGGTGGGATCTCTGATATCAAAGCCGCAATTTATATAAAGCTTGATCAACCACGTGAGGAAAACGAACGGCCCAGATCACACTATAGATAAAATGTTTTATCTAGTCAATTAGGTCCAGTCAAAGGTCTTTTCTCCGTATTTCTTTAACAATTTATGTATTTTAAATGCAAAATTTGTATTAATATTAAGGCTAAAAAATTAAAACATAATGGTACATCTAATAACCATAGATGTTAATTATTTGATTTTTTAGATTTCCACACATATATAGAAATCAATCATAAATTATTTTTTACAATACTTTTTTTTTTTACTTTTCAATTTAATATTTTATTCTATACTCAATAAGACTTTATTTTTTCCTTTTGTAAAACAAAACACATTGAATATTGACTTGCAGAACATCAATCTTTTGGAAACAATATAAAAATCCAAAAAATCAAACAATTAAGAAGAGAAAGAGTATTAGATGTACATCTAATAATTTATTTACTTGGTGGTCTAGTCTGTTACATATAAGAGATTATAGAATAATAGTTATTACATGTAAAAACAAAATTTAAATCGTCGATATATGTAACAGACTGGACCACCAAAATTTTGTGATCCAACTGGTATGTCAAAGGACTAATTGTATTTAGGGCTTGCTTTCAGAGTTTCTATATATGAAAAAACAAATTAAAAGAGAAGAAACAACCTAAGACATGGTGGAATGGACTAATTAATAAATAATCTTGTTTTTCTAGCCTTTTTATTGCCTCATAATGACGGTTGCTTGATTAACACTGAACATTGAACACAAGAGCACATAAGTGGCCAAAAATGCAAAACTAGGAACCTCCATCTTCTTGTTATATACATATCTTCAACAACCTTACATGAATTAGAGTTCAAATTATAGATTTCAATTCACATGTATTGAAAGTAATTTAGTTTTTTTAGCGACTTGATCTGCATCATTAGATAAACCCTTTGTTTCAACAAGGATCTCGACGGAATGGTAATTAGGGTTTTACTTCCACGCATTCAATATCTTATCATATAGAGACAGCTAGCTACCGTTGAATAAGTTAGGTCAAACCGTATATTAAACAAAATTAATAAATAATTGGCAATAACATTATGAACGCATGTGTCAGTTCTAGTATATTCGTTGGCTTTGTAGATTTTAAATATTTTTGATTACTTAATTTCCTTTCTAATAAAATTCTATTCTAACTTCATTATACAGTTGAGGTTGAAACAGAGTGAAAAAAAAGAAGAGACTTTAGAAAAATATGTGTATTGCAAACGAGCATGAGTTACTATTATAGCGTTAATGCTCTAAATTTAAGAAGGAAACATATCAAATAATGATTATTGTTAAACAAAATTATTGGCTCAAATCAGGGAGACCAAAAAATATCAGCTTATTTTTCTATACAAACAAGTACAACAATAAATGAAGCCTTTTTTTTTAACTTCGAATAAATCCCTTTCTCCAACTCTTTTTATTTTATTTTAATTTCACCTTCACCAAATGTAAAATAATTTCAATATAATGAAGAAATATGGGGGAGAGAAGAAAGAAACATCATCATCCCAAAGTTTTCCATACATAAATTATATATAAAAAATAATTGATGAATTCCGAATCCTTCTCATACCCTTACATATATGCACACGCAGAAGAGGCATTTTCGGTAATTCTTGGCTCGAAGAAGATCCATCATCATCACTCGTCTTCGTTTCCGACGAGAGCGAACGTGAAAGGAGCAAATTTGTAACCATCGCCTTCGTAGAACTTGTTCTGATACTCCACCCAGTGAAGACGCAGCGCGTGAAGGAACGCGCTCAACGTCTCCATCACCAGAAGCACCCCCACGGTTGCAAAGATGAAGACGAGTATCCCAACGATCAGGATGAAGATGTTGTTGAAGCTGTTGCCGTGAACAACAAGGAAGACAAGAGAGACAAGACTCTTTGTGTTATCAACACCTTCTTACAGAGTAATTTAATAACTGAGATTTGCAGAAAGAGTGTTTAAGCGTGTCTACTTACCCCCAAGCCATAAGGAGAACCTTCTCGTAAAACACTGACGACAACTCCGAGTGGGCAAGACTGAACAAGTAAAGCCCAACATAGGCATATAGATTAGTCATCATGACATGATGAGTCTAGCTTATATGTGAGTGTCACTAACTAACTAGTAAGTGTCTTTGAGAGTTGTCGTTTGTACCTGAGAGCCCAGAGACGAAGATAAGAAGCAGTGTTGGAAACAGCGCAGCGCCAAGCACAAACTCGATTGTGTGAATGAGCTGGTGGACAAAGATTTCGCTGAATTCAAACTCTTCATGTCCATGGGATCCCCCATTTGTTTCTACTTGAAGACTCTCATCTGTCTCGTCGAGCTGTGCATATGACTCACCTTGATGTCTCTGGAGAAGGCAAAAAGAAATCAAGTTTCAGTTATGGTCAAGCACAAACTCAATTTGAAGTTTTTAAGTAAACCGACGAGGAAAGGCACCCACAGCTTCATGTTGTTTCTTCAAAATGAACGGCTTTGGCAACAACATCCACGGTACAGAAACCAGTGCCAGAAAGAGGAATGTGAGCTGAAACGGAAAAGGAATGCGATGAGAACTTATAATTTTTTTTATGAAAATACAGAGAAGGAGCATTTGTTGGGTGTCGATGCAAACCTGTACTGTTTTCTGGTTAGGGAAAAGCTGATTCTCTCCTAAATCATCCATAGGGCTCAGGAACATGTAGATCATTACGTGATATAAATCCGCTTGAGAGCCAGTGCACCACTTTATGATGATGAGGACCGATAGATAGCCAAACAAGCAGTTCAAGAATATCATCTGGGGAACGAACTGGAACCTGGAACCAATGTGAGATCATACGCTTAAATATGACTTTATTTGTTGGGAGAGGATGAAAGAAGTGGGAGGTGTACGTATTAGTCAGGGAAAGTAAATCGAATAAACTCACCATACGTTTACAGCACTTTTGAAGAATTTTGCATTAAAGAAGCTCATTATGATTCCAAGGTTCATTTGGGCAACTCCAAGAAGGATTGACATTTTCATCTTAAGCGAGTTCAGGAACGGTAGTTCACTGCGGGTACCATGCCACACAGGGTCCACGCCAAATGGATAAGTGTCTCGGGTTTTGATCAGACCAATTGTAGCAGCCTCACTGAACAAATGAGACAAAAAAACTCAGAATCGTATATGGATTTTTCTTATGAAGGGTTTCGGGAACTAATCGACATACCTGCAAGAGGCATCACGGCACTCATATGCGGAGCTGGCAAACAATGGATATGGTATAGAGAAGAACTCGTTGTAGATCAAACCAGTGTATATTGAGAAGAGTGACATCATCATTATAACGTAACGGCCACCAAAAGCCATTTCCATAATATCCCCAAGTTTCTGTTGTCAGGAAGCAAAGATTGATGAGTTAGAATCTGGGATTGCAGGAAAGAAAAACATTGACAACTATTCATTAACGTCTGCATGCAACTCTTAAAACAGTAACATACACCAAAAGAATCTGCGAGTTGATACTGTGCTCAGTCAGAACATACTGCCAGTTAGGTAAATTACCTGGCTGGAAAGCTTCTTTTCTCTCAATATCAAATACATAGTTGCAAGCAGAAGACAGATTCCATGACCCCAGTCACCAAACATAACAGCAAAAAGGAAGGGGAAGGTAACAATTGTGAATACACTTGGATTGGCTTCCTGATATTTGGCTATACTGCAATGTAGTGATAAACAGAGATCAGTAAAATTCAAGAGACAAACACTAAGCGCAAATGCATATTAAAGCAAGAAAGGTTGCTTCTAGCAGCTGAATTGATTAAGGAAAACACAGCTTACAGAAAAAAATTCAGGGGTATTCCAGATTGAACAAGGAGTTGAAACCAAAATGAAAATGTTTATTTTTGAACGAGTGTGTAAGAGGCAAAAGCTTAATACTATACAACCATCCGCTAATCCTTTAAAAATGTTAGTTATAGTTAAAAAGAAATGTTCGATTTCCTCTTTCCCATAGGGCAGATGAAAAATCCAGAAGGAGATGCTTACCCGTACGCATCAACAATTTCCTGGAACGCAGTAGTAAACTTGTTTGTGCGGAAGAAAGTGGGAGGCATCTCTTTGGTTCTCAGGACCTGGAAAATTGATCCAACTTGAGAATTGGAGTCAACCGCAGCACGCTGCAACGCATCTTGAATCTGCACACGCAAAGCTTTAAACTCACTGTCGCACCAGTATATACGCAATAATTTCAATTATATGCAACTAGAGTTACTCACTTCTGTCGCTGCAAAGACAGGACTCCAGCCTTCACCCACAAGGCACTTCTTAGTCACATCAAGACTGAGCATGTTCAATGTGTGATAGATGGCTTTTTCTTTGCGAACCTGCATGGTGTAAACGTTAATTAATCTCACCTTACACAGATATGAAAATGGACATAAATGAGCACTCTACTAGTGAAAAGAAAGCTCCGAATAATAAAAGACCTTGAGGTTCCATTGCTCAAACTTATCTCCGATGGTCTCCAAAAGAACTTTGCGGTGTTCCAACCCAGCACCTATGGTAGTTTTAAGCTCTGATAACCGACCCGAAACCTGAAACATTATGAGAAGACTAAACAAGGTTAACAGTTTCTGAGAATAAATCACTGGTCTAAGACTCACTCTCCCATGGATACACAAACATAGCCCACC